GCGAGTGGTTCTCGTTTGGTTGGAAGGATCGCCCTGTTGGTCTAGGCCAGGGATCGATCCTCCCCAGACGCAGTTTCGCTCTCTCACTCTTGTGGCCACCTGGGAATTTACCTGCGGACTTGCTCAGGCGCCCCAGACCACCAGTTTATCAGGGGGCCCTTAAGTGGAGGCTTAAAAATCCCTGTGACGCGGGCTTAGGCCCAGTGGGCTAGTCAGATCACTGTGTGGTCTGGATACTGGGTTATCAAAAAAAGTTTAGCTAATTAAGCTTCAACATGTGAGTATGTGAAGCAGTTTCTCACCTTCGTCGAGATAGTAGATCGACGAGATACGCTCTTAGCCGTCTAAAAAGTATATAATACAATATATATTATATTCTTTTTCTCAAAATATATATTGTCCAAATCGATTTTCTTTATTACTTCTTTTCAGATTGTTAGTTTGAAATTGGCAAAAAAGATAACTAGAAAGTTTTTACAAGCCTACCTAGTTTTTAACTAGAGGTGGCTCCAATTATGACATAACATAGTTGGGTGTATACGTATTGAATAAGTCTTATAATGATACGATTAGGTATACTAATCGATCTAGTGAGTTTTTTTATTTTGTTTATTTCATATGATAAAAAGTGACAACAATCATGAGAATTTATTGTTGTAAAAAAATTAAACAAAAAGCATAACATTGTAAGAAAAAAAAGAATAAGAAAACGCAAAATCAGGAGAGAGCACTAGTATTGTTTTTATCTTCATAAGGAGCAGGAACGGTCCAATATTGTTTCACCGCATAGTAAATCTTCTCTCTTTCATGAGGACCCTTCTCGTGGTCAGCAATTCTACCTTCCCATTCTAATCCTTTTGTTAATTCCTTAACCTTGATCAAAACGTCCACGTCATCTCTTATAATCACTCCACCACCCGGTCTAAGAATTCGGTCCATCTCCAACAATATCTCCTCCGGTTTACACTTACCTTGGTACAATGTGAAAACCGAGTCAGCATGGATAAAATCATACGTTCTTGGATACGTCGACATTGCTTCACACCTGACGAAAAGAAGGAAAACCGGATTAAACCATAACCTTCCACAAGAAAATTCCGGTTTAGTTTTAAGTTCGGTCAAAACTTACCAGTTTTGATACGTTCCGATTAGACCACGCTCGTAGATGACACCGAGCGTATTGAGCTTAGCCTCGACCGGGACAATGTTCATGACCCAGACCGGATCATCCGCTAGAGCCGCCGCGAATCCGCCGAGGTAAGCGTTCATGTCGACTAAGTTTCTGTATCTCCCGGTTTCACCCAACTGGTAATCTAATTTCTTGTAATAAGAAACTCTCTGTTTCCAAAGTTTCGTGTTCTCCAAGAAAGCTTCAGGTGTGATCTCCTCGAGATCGCCTTTGTTTACTCTCGGAGGAACCGCGTTTAACCTAGCCGGCCACTTCTCTACCTTCCCTCCGGCCACTGTCTTTAGATCCTCCGCGTCATCAACTTCAGGTAATGGTGTCAAACAAGAATCCATCTTCGTATACCTGAATCGTTCGAAATTTATAGCCAAATTCTAACATTTTCAAATCTTAGATAGAAACTGATTGATTACCAGGCCATGTCGGGATCTTGATCATGACGACAAAACTCCGGATTCTTCAAAACCTGTCTGGTTTTCTTACAGTGAATGTGGTTAAAGGGTTTTTGCCAAATAGCAAGATCATCTCTCTGCACAACTTTCTTCCAACACAAGCTTCTCGCGACCTGCTCGATCTGAGTCTGTTCTGCATTCAAATCATCCATCGTCCGTTCCCATCCCTTCCACCGTTTCTGCCAATTTATCGGCGGTCCAGAAAGTATCCAATACCCTCCTGGTCTTAAAACCCTATCCACCTCCATCAAGTAAGCCCCATCTGCAACACACACAAAGTGTTAGAACTCAAAAGGGAGTGATTTCATACTTGTTTAGGGTTTAGAGTCGAACCGTTTTGGCCCCACGGGATAAGGCAACGAGAGCAATGTGCTAAGTCAAAGGCTCTAGAAGGGTACGGTAAGCGGATTGTAGCCATGATTCCGATCATCGCAGGCACGCCACGCTCGAGTGCAAACTGGACCTGAGCTTCGTGTGTGTCCCTTGGTGCAAATGACATCGTAGTAATGTTTCTTGATAAAAGATATGCACCAAAGCTAGCCACCTGAAAAACCAAAGACTCATTTGATTGATTGATCATACCAACAAAACTAAGGCATATGATTTTCTTGTTTTGACAAATTAAGTCAAACTAAGAGACAAGAAAAGATATTCTTCATTTTGACTCTTTGTTTACAACTACTAGTTTATTTTCAACTTTACAGGTTTAACGGTAAAGTATGAGTAGGTCAACAGTAACATTAGACGATTAGGTGACTTAATTAGTGGGTCACACTCAGAAACCAAAAGTGTTGAAAAAACAATATGCAAAATTAAGATTAAATCTACAAAATGGTGATGCACTAATTCCTAAATTTAATTATTTTCACATATATAAGATAGTACACTAATCAAATGGAATTTAGATTAGATATGACTAGATATGGATATACATAAATATATCTTGTTAGTTAATATGGACGTCTCAACAGATTATTCGATTGAACAAATCGGTGAGTGAAAATCTTTTTATTATTATTTTCTTTAATTTGAAGTATAAAAAATAAAGATAACGAATATGCATTCTTGATAGAAATGCAAAATCAAATCGAACCGGGTGGTTTGGTTTAATCAGAGTGAAGAGAATTTGAACGTACCCCGCAACCGGTATCGATGGCTGTACGGATAGAGCCGTCGCTGAGATCAATCAACCGTCCGATATCGTCAATGTAAGCATCAGCGCCACGTGGAAACATCGTACCGCCACCAGGGAACCAAAACCGATCATTCTCGTACCGGACCCAATTCTGATTCTTTTTCTCAACCGTAAGTTCCGTGTGAGGCACATTAGCGAACCACGCCACGTCACGACTCTCCGGCCACCGGAACGGCGTTTTGTAACCGTACGGCGCCGGAATTCTGCACTTCAAGATTTCTTCTCTCTCGGGACAATGCCTTTGCCTATACTCCAATCTCTCCCTTGCGAATTTCAAGGATCGCTTCGCGTCTTCGCACGGTGTGTGCTCGCTCAACTCGGCGGCGCACGACGGGAAATTCACGGCGGTTTCCGTCACCGGAGGTGGATCTTGAATGTTGTGATGCGCGTCGAAGTCGAGATCTTTCGTCGAAACCGGTCTGGTGAATTGCTCACACGGTGTACCGTCTGAATCATCGAAGGCGGCGCGTGGATTCACCGCCGTGTTTTGCCAAATACCGAGAAGGTAGCTACCGATGCAGAGAAGCGCAACTAGGGTTACGTAGTAAAGATTGGACTTCTTAGTCCGAGATGATATTCTTGTAAATAAATTCATCTCTTAAAGAAAAAAAAATCAGTCAATGGTATAATTTTTTAGAAACCAAATTGAAATATTTATATATAGACACAACGATCAACAATGGAGTGAATCGAATGTGTGACGAGTGAAGTTTTCAAGGGTTGATATGAAGTGGTTCGATGGTGTAATATAAAGGGATGAGAGAAAATAGAAGCGAGTGTTAGATACGCGCTTTAAGGTCAAAGGGTCAAATGTATCGTTCGTGAGAGATTAGGCTTAAAACGTGCGAGCTAGTCATAGGCACAATGGGAAAATTATTTTGTTCAAAATATTATTCTTTTCCATTTTCATCGAATTATTAGATTTGTTTTACTAGAAAATTTGGAAACTTAAGGATTTTGTGATATATTCATGTATTGTATTATGAGAAATATATCTTTTAACATTTTGTGATTACCATTTTTTTAAAAGGAAATTGACTAAAGAATGTACGTTAACGTCCACGCTCCGATGAAGCGAGTGAAGGTTGATATATATAGGTGATGAGGGGTCCGTTTGGGTCCTTTGGATGCAAAGAGACGCAATCCCAATTGCACTTTTTACCGGTACGATCCAATTTTAATACCCAACCGAAGCACTTTTTGGGTGAATTTCCCGGTTTACATTACTAAAAAAAACGCTTAAACTGCGATTCTCTTTTGCTCTGTATATACGCCAGTTATGGGAATGTTATATGAACTTTTTTTGGGGGCCAGAGGAAGTTTAAACCTTGCGGGATTGTGAAGAAATCCCAACGAAGCAATGTACATTGGAATCGTAAAACGCAGTGAGAGTTTGGTTTGCGTTTGTAATACTTGTAATTGGTTTAAATTATTAATAAACAGTTGATTTCCAAACAACATTTTGTACCTTACACCTAACCTAACCAATACCCATGGCATTGGACTGGAAACATTTGAAACGAATTCTTAAAAAAAAAAAAAACATTTGAAACGAATGGAATCGAATCGATTTACCGAACCAAATCAGATAGCTCAAGTTTACAAAAATAAAAACTATAACAGATCTTAATGATAAGTTGTTAAGATTATCCAAGTAAAATACTTGATTTCTTATAATTTAAATTAAGAGTTTAATCTAAAACTAAACTGAACAAATGTAACAAATAAATCAAACTAAATCTAAAATTTCCGAATCAACATCCCAAAGTCTTGGATATTGGCCTATCAACAACTTCCCAAATTCTTAGCAAAAAAAAAAAACATCCCAAAGTCTTCTTATCCATGCATGGCCTATCAACAACTTTCAAGATATTTTATTGTACTATTTAATATATAAAAACTAGCGGTTCATTGTAAAATGAGCGTACCACGATGCATGGATCATGGATGCTATCCAAGTTGTAGCTTTAGGCGAAAACAAGCGCAAAATATATAATAATTCCGATCAATAATGCACATATGTATTTGGATTTTGCTCTAGTTTTTGCTTATTTCCAGTATTTGCTTAGCTAAATCAACATCTCATGACTCATAATATGATGCAATACTACTAAAACTTGTGTATCAAGAACCTGAGACATAAACGTATTTATTATAATCATCATTCCTGCAAATAAGTATTTTATAACAGCAGCAAATTTCCTTAATAAAAGACCAACAGAAACTTTCTGAAATGACTTTCTCCTGAACACCAGCTTCCTCGATCGACTTCAGGGTGTTTTGATCTTGGGGCGTGTCGGAAGCAACTGTGTTTGTGGAGAATAATAATGAGAATCATATAAAGATCAGAAGAGAAAGTTACGAAATTGTAAAGTAAAGGTTTTGTGGATGAAACAAGTGTTACCTGGTAACAAGAAATGATGGAGGTGATGAATCCAAAAGCTCCGGTGACACGAGGAGTGATCTTCTTTGGAGCTAACTGAAGAAGACCAGCTGCTACAACAATGTCCATAGCTGATTTGATCAAAGCAAGTGACCTCTCATTTGATTGTTTTAGCTTAGCACGATACTCCTCATCCTACATTTTTACACAATTTGATAAACAGGAATTGAGTTTCTTATAATAGGATTTTGTAGAACTAGAAGATTCTTGACAAAAGGAGAGAACTTTACTTGATATTTGTTTCCATTCTTGAGTCCCTTTTCGATCTTCTTCATTGATGAAGAAAGCCTTCCAATCTCACCAACCTAACAACAGTGAAAACCGATAAATAAGCTGGCGAAAAGGCAAAGGTGACATGAGGAATCGATCGGGAAAGCGAAAGAAGAGACGGACCTCGACTAAAGTTGTACAGACAGAAGATCCCATCCAGCAGAAAAGAGATATACGTCCAAGTAACTCAGCTCGTTCTTTGTTCTGTGTTGAGATACACATAAGTCATTAGACAAAACACAAAACTTGAATACACCAGTGGTACATAAAGTTGATGATCTCTCTCACAGTCTCACCTTATATATTCCTGATCTCCCAAGCCAGACAATTTGATCCAGGAACAAGAATGTAGATAAAAGTGCGTTCTTCGACTGAAAATAATGATACAGAACAAAGATATAAAACAAGGGGACTAAGAAATCTTTGTATGAAACTGAAACAAACTCTGAGCTTTGAGCACATAAGCACATACCTTTCCAAGTAAAACAAGAGGAAGAGGAGTCCCTTTAGGCACAGGACTGATGAGACCATGCAAGTCATTCACAAACTGCAACAATGATATTTAGTTAATAAACAAAGAGCTAAAACACATACTCTAATCAAAATCAAAAGGATTAACCTTGAAAAGACGAAAGACTTTTCTGGCTAAGCTAGTAGATTTGTCAACATTTTGAGCAGTACCAGGTTGTCCACCACTCAAGAACTTGGAACCATACTGTATAGCTCTGCATAACTTATCCCTTGCCTCTGCTTTGTTCAAATACATTACCACAAGTGCTAGCTCTGCTCTTGACACATCTAATGTCGTCCCCATCTTCTTCTACCTAACCAAATTCCAAAATATCTACCACTTTTACAAGACAGGAGGAAAAATTGGAAAATTCTACTACTTTCGAGCGAATAAAATCATCAAGAACACCACGAAAATACCTCAATTTCGGATTTAAAATTGAAACAAATCATAGAAATCAAGAGAGTTTCGAATCGAAATACCTTTGGGAGAGATGTGTGAACAGAGAGAGAGAGCGATCAACTAAAATTCGCAATGGCTCTGTTTTGTCTTGATCTTCTTTTGATTGTGTGTGTAATCGGAGATAGGGCTTGTTTGGTCATCTTCGTTTCCCGATAAACAGACAAAACACGTCGTTGGGTCAACGCTCTCATCTCTTCGATCCCTCATTCTCAGCCGTCGATCATGTTGACTCTCTTCTATGTGTACACCACATTGGATCATCTCTCTCACTCTGCTTTCGGAAGTTGAGGATATTTCGCGCGTCCCAACCACGTGGCACACATATCTAGGACAAAAAGATTGAAAGTCCACGTGGCTTTTTACATTATCTGGGCCAATAACACTCTCAAAGCCCAATAATGTTTCACCTAAATGGGCTCTAAATGCGGCCTAATTAGTAACATTAAACCGATCTTTATTTAACCGACAAAACCTTAGTCGTTAGTTAGGGTTTACTTACTAACCCGTCATTCAGAATCAGAACTGAAACTAACCAAACATAACTGCAGTCTTCTTTTTTGTTTCGATGGAACTCAATAAGGATCAGACAGTCATGTCGGAGGATAAAAAGCCTCAAGATCCAAATCCCAGATTTGCTTGCGAAGGTTGCAGCGTTTTGCTCGACGTCAACGATGGTGACCGTCTCGTCTTCGCTCGTTTATCTGGTGGCGCGTGCGTCTTCTTCTTCCTCAATATCTTAATTTATCCAGATTGATTCTCATCCTCAATTCTATTGTTTTGAATTTGGTTTTTGATTCTTTTATCTCCTTCTTCTTGCAGTATATTAAAAATTGGGAATAAGAATTATTCTTTAAAGCCATTGATCGGAGCTCCGTTTGGATCTCTGTTCCAAGTCGAAACCGGAGAAGATGGTTCTTTCCTCTCTCGCATTCTTCCCATTAAACAAGGTTTCTTATTGAATACCAAACTCACATTATCCTTTATACTGAATTCAAATTTTATAAATTTATAATGTTAGTCATTGATTTTGGTTATAGTTAGATGAATTTGGTCTAATTGATGTTTGCTTACACAGACAATAGCAGTAATAATGTTATGGACGATTCGAGAGATAATCGGGAAATCGTCGACAATAATGAAGCTCAGAACCTTACTGGTGAAGAAATTGAAGCTATGCGGAGGTTAGAAGAATTCTTTATATCCTCTGTGTTTATTATATTGAATGCATACATTGGAAGATTTGCTAAAGTTTTTCTCTTTTATGAGTAGAGAGGGTGCAAAAGGGGATGAAATTATTGAAGCTCTAATTGCAAACAGCAAAACATTTGATAAGAAGTTTCAGTTGTCTCAGGTAATGTATTTATATTGTTAATCTCTCTGCTTCTACTTTGAAAGTAAGATATATAATTGACTGTTCTTGTTACATCTTGTAGGAAAAATATAAGCTTAAGAAGCAGAAGAAATATGCGCCAAAGCTGCTTCTTCGACGGCCCTTTGCTCGAAGGTATTTATTTATTCGGTTTTTTCTGTCTCCTTTTGTTTTCTGACTTCTTCCGTTTCTCTTATGAATGGATCTCTTTATGTTTTAACAGTATATGTGAAGCTTATTTCAAGAAATACCCAGCCAGAATTGGGTAAGTACACTTGTTTGTTTTCTTTAATTGTGTATTCTATAGATCCTGAATCCTATCCTTTTTTCTCTGTTGAGATTTGAATTATGTATTGATGGTGCTGTATATCTTTTTTTTTTTTGTGTGTGTGTGTTGTAGATTCTTACGAGTAGATGCATTATCTCTTCTGTTAACGATGGCTAATGTCACTGCATACTCGGATGTGCTTGTGGTGGATATGGTTGGTGGCCTTGTCACTGGTGCAGTGGCTGAAAGATTAGGAGGTATGACCTTTTTGCAATCCTACATCACATTAATAAGACCATTGCATATTTTTGTAACAATATGCCACTGCTATTGTGTGTCTTATATGTGTATATATTCCTTTTAACAGGCACTGGTTATGTTTGCAATACATATAAGGGAAGTTCTCCTTATCCTGTGGAGATGGTAAGGATGTTCAACTTTAGTGACAAGGTTTTAGAGAGGTATGTTCGATTGGTCTCCCAAGTCTTTTTCTCTCTAGCCTCTAATTGTAGCTGTTCTATAGAATGTATCTGTAATTGACATTTGTGTGTTCCTTTTCTTGTATGTAGGATCGTGCAGTCATCGATAAATGAGCTCTCGTCAGCCAATACTGCGTCTCCTGAAGGAAACAATCAACAAGAAGGAGTTTGTAACTCTGAGAACAATATTAATGCAAGTTGCAAACCTTTACCGTTTCACTTGAGTCCTAATTTGAGAAAATCGTGTGATTGTAACAGAAGGTTTTAATTGAAAAATGCAGGAAACGTCATCTACATCTGATATTATGGTAGAAGAAATATCTGCGACAACTGAGGCTGGAGTAGTAGATATTGTTGTACCAGAGAGCAAAGTTATCAAAGCCGCAAAAGCTGGAGCCAAAGCTTCAAAAGAAACTATAGAGATGTGGCGAGAAAACGGCTTTTCGAGGTAAGTATTAGCGTTTGTATGAATGAAAATGGTTTGCGCTCATCACTTAATGAATGTCTGATTCGCAGCCTAATCATCGCTGCGCAAGACCAAGACCCATGGAGCGTAGCTAAAGATGTATTGCCACTGCTGTCTTACTCTGCTCCCTTTGTAATATATCATCAGTATTTACAGGTATGTCATAAGAAAAAAGCTATTACTAACTGCTCTCTAACCAAGTCAGAAAAGCTCTAATCTGCCACATTTGGTCTTTAGGCTATATACAGTAGTAGACCTATAGCTAAGTGAACTTGTTCGAAGCTTTTCATTATATTTGGTAATAATGAACAAAAATCTCTTGATGATAATCACAGCCGTTGGCGACATGTATGCACAAGCTTCAACAGGGGAAGATGGCGATCAATCTGCAAATAACAGAACCATGGCTACGCGAATATCAGGTCTGATAATACTCTCTTTTTTCTGTGTGTTTTAATCTCAACAGATCATCAAGAGGGGGTTGAATGATATATGTATATTAAAAATGCAGGTGCTTCCTTCAAGATCTCATCCTCACATGCAGATGAGTTCTTTTGGAGGCTATGTTCTGAGTGGCATCAGAATCTCTACCACTTGACTGTTGTTTTCAAAACCAGAAACTGTGGTTTGATGTTTGGTCTTTAAGGTCTTTGTGGTTGTTGTTGTTGTAACATTAGGGGCTGAGATTATGAGAACACTCCAAATAATTGAAAATTTTGCCGGATATTTTATGATAATACATCCATTTACCTTCAAATTTCTTGATGGTTTTGTTTTGTATGTCCACAACTGAAGACTGATATGCTTGAACTATTTTTGGATATTTTGTGCATCCGGTCATATGAAAACATTACAAAATACATTATACATACGGTGACCAAACAAGATATCATTGGCCGAGTTTCATACAGATTATGAAACATATCACATACATTATATATATACCACGTTGCTTCATGTTCTTCTACTTCCTACTAAAGAAACTTCTTAGTTTCCCTTTCTCAATCCTTTCAAGAAGCTTTTTTGACCCAGGAACCTCCAACTCCGACAACTTCTTCAAATAACCAACAGCTCCATGTGAGACCATCAGCTTCTTACACTTCCTGCTTGAACACAAAGCCGCCAAACCCGAAACCGCATACTTCTTTGCTGAATTACTCGGACTCGGCTCAAGCAATATCACAAGACTCGTCACACTCTTCTCATCTCTCTTTACTTCTCTGCAATTCCTTGGAACCGTAACCAGACTCGCTATTGCTTGAGCAGCAACCTCTCTAGCTCCACTCGCTTTCGCCTCCAACATTCTTATCAACAACGGGATACAACCTGATTCACCGATCATTCTCTTCGTCTCATTTGATGTAGCTATCCTGCAAATAGTTGATGCAGCCGCTTGCTGAGCTCCGATTGATCCTGATTTAAGAACATGGACTAAACTTGGGATTATATTGAAGTAAGTCTCTACAGAAACAGAGCCAACAAGATTCCGTATTGCTGCAACTCCTGATTCTTGAGGAAGAGGACCGTCTAAGTAAGCTAGCAGAGTTTGAATCCCATTCTCTGATATAACCGATCTTCGAAGAGTTTCGTTGCTTGAAGTGAGATTCTGAAGACATTCCGCTGCGTATTCTTTAGATCCCAATAGGATTCCGCAGTTAAGTATGTTAATCATCACTTTGACGATTCCTTCTTCCGCTAGATTCTGTCTTACTTCAGGCACAGCGGAAATGTTCTTCAAAGTACAAGCAGAAGCTGATTGAGAAACAGAGTCCCCTGTTTTGCAAATCTCGATCAACGGACTAACCCCGCCGTGACCAACAATGGAACGCGATGTCTCTGATGAAATCGACATTCTCTGCAACGAAATAACCGCTTTCTCCTTAGCAACAAGACTTCCCGATTCTAGTAGCCGTATCAATGGAGGCAATGCGTTCTCAGATATAAGCCAGTTTTCGCATCCGCCTGATTCGGCTAGAGAGCAGATCACAGTCACCGCGTTTTCCCTTACGCTAGGCGAAGTAGCAGTCAAAAGCTGCACCAAAGAAGCGACATTGGTCCGACCTAAAGCGGTTATAACCGCTTTTTCGTCTTCTTTCATTACCTCTACAAGTTGCTCAAGCGCTTTGCGTTTAGACTCCAAGTGACCTATCTGAACCCGAGCAAGCAATTCTCTAACGCTGAACGTTTCCAAGTCTTCAGTCGAAGAAGATAAAGTTTTTGTAACTTCTCCAAGAACACCTGTTTTCATAAGCAATCCACAATCTTTCAAGCTAAGATCAATTTTCGCAGATAGAGAATCTAGATCACTCTGCATCTTCAACTTCCCCTCTTGCTTCTCACTTACGCAAACATTAGCGAGCTCGATGGCTTCTTTTAAAGTTTCTAAGACCGCTTGAAGTTGCTCTTTGCATAGAGTGTGTTTAGAGAAGCAAGGATGGCTAGACAAATCCGATAAACATGTCGGTATTTTCTCTAATCTTGAAATAATCACTCTCCATCTGCTTGAGAAACCTTTCACTGTTCTTGCTTTGGACAAAGCCATCGGTACAAGCTCTTGTGCCTGTAATAACAAATCTTCAACTGTTGGATCAACCAGAGTTTCGTTTCCAGTTTTCTCCTCCACCATGATCACACACAAATACAATCCTTGAACTCTGTTTCACTGAATTGCACAAAAGAAGGAAAAAAAAACAAAAGTTTAGCGATTTACAGAAAGAAAAAAACAAACCCAGAAACGATCAAATATTGCCTTGATGAGACACACTGGCCAATAATTGAAACTTTAGTTCTGTAATAGGAAAAAAATCAAAAGTGGGGAACTAAAGTAATGAAAAGAGTAGTTGAATGAGTGATGAACAAGTTGGTAGATTTGTTATAAATAAGGACACGGATTTTAAAACAAAAAGGAAGAAGCCATCAAAAGAGTTTCGAGAATCTTGAAAATCATCACATAAAAGCTTATCGATATTTTGCTGGAGAACAAAACCCTACCAGACAAAAAATTTACAAGTCATTTTCCAATTTCCATTAATTCGTCGGTGTGAACAATAAGTGCTATAAAAAAGCTAATGATATGCTAATAAATAAATAGAAGAATCATCACAATCAGCATCTATTACATGATAGTATATTTATTTTAATGACAAGGCTCCTGAAAAATAAAGACAAGAATACCCTTCTGAAGAACAAGAGCTTCAAACACAGATTTAAAATCACAAAGATTGAAGATTAAGCTGGTTAAAGAGGAAAAGCAATAAAGAGAGAAGAGAGACTTTGTTTTAAAGAGAAGATGTGAGTCTCTTTCAACAAATCGTATGCTTAAAAACTTCATAAGAGTTCGAACCAAACTCCACTAAAACACACTACACACAAGTTTGGTGACAAATCCACAACTTGTCTTTACTATAAGAAAAGAAACAAAAAAAAGCTTTTCTAATTTTTCCTTAGAGCTTGTGTAAAATGCAAGAGATTCAAACAGAACATGAAGAAACAATTGAAACCCAGAGCTGTTTGAGATTAAGCTATCTAACAATTACCTGGAAACAAAGATCTATGCTTCAGCTTCTGGGTTAGTTGCAGAACTTTGAATTTCGAAATTGAATCAAAAACAAAAGAAGAAACTCTCTTTCAGACAGAGAAGGAGCTGTGTCAGAGTCGTTTAGTCTGCTTTAGATTTGTTCCGACAGAGCCGTAACGCACGATTTTTATCGTATCGCGAGAATTTTCAAATTCTTCCGATCTAGCGGCTATAGTTCCATCTTATGAACCTAATCGAACGGTTGGGATGCGATTGGAATTTGAAATGGCTCGTTGATCAGCTGACATGGACGTATGACTAGTCTTCTCGGGAGCGTCACGTGTGCCAATCGGTTAAATAAATTTTATGTGTTCGTTTAATTAACGAAAATGCCATTGGTTCAAGCATCATCGGCTTTTGAGGGCCATAAAGGAGAGAAAGCGTCGAGAGGACCGAGGCGCGTGAGGCTTTGTGGGCCTTCCTAACGTGCACGAAACGGCACGCACTTGTCTGCTGTGCTGTCTGTTGAGAGCATCGGCTTTTGTGATTAACTAATTTTACCATTTAGTTCATTAATGTAATTCTTTATGAGCTAATCATCCTCCGATTTTCATAATCATTTTATGGTAAAATTAACACGATCGTAATAATTATCACTAAGACCTATCTTATCCTTCATCTAAACCCAGTACTCCCATTATAACTATGAATATCACATTTCATTATTATCTATGATTAAATGATAAATGATAAATTTTGTTTGTTTAATTAAACTTTAATTGAACCCAAAAAATCAAGTAAACAAACCTTTTGTTTTTACAAAATTAATCAATTTTCTGTCTCAGATAATAAGGATCAAAACGCAACGTTTAGCTATTTGTCATGTATGTAATGATGGGCCTAAATTTGAAGCCCAATATTAAACGAGAACTTCCATTCTACGCCAATCTATAAATACCTTTCTCCTTGGTTTTGTCGTCTCCCGATTGATCTGAAATTGAAATTCTCGAATCGTAAAGTTTGCTCTAATCCTAACTGAAGATCTAGATTCTCGCGTTTGATCCATCAGGTTTGCTTCTTCTTCGGGCTACTACGCATCTCAGAGAGATTATGATGTCTTCGTGCTTTCAGTTAGAGTTTCCGCTTCTTCTTGATCTCCGTCATCCTATTCGCGTGGAAGCTCGGGTTTCACAAACATTGTTCGTGAATTCACGTTTTTCTGCTTATACGATTGTTGGAGCTAGAGATCTCTTCTTCGGTTTTCTTTTGTTGTGATTTAGGGTTTTTTTATGTATTGACTATGTACGCGCGGTTATGAAATCATCGAAGCTTTTGGATTTGAGTTTTGATGGTTTTTTACTACTGCGAGTGGAAAACTCCGAAGATCGCCTCTATGGCTTGTCTTTAACATTAGGTTGGAGTCAGATTTATTTTGTGGAGTTGGGGATTTTCAATCCTGTGGTATATCTGGCGATTGGGAGGTTCTGGATATGTCAACTCATGAAAAGTGCCATATGTGAGCAACAATGTTCGACTCTGTGATTCAGTCTGCTAAAGTTTGTATGTTTCTCGATGTATAGTATGAATCATAAAGCGCCAAGGAGGTATTCACAAGGAAGGGATTTTGGAGTGGACAGACAACAAGATTTTGCTGTAGATATTGTTCCAAGAAGATTTGGTGTCCCTTATGAAAAGAGAGTGAAGAAAGGTCCATACAATGGATCAAGGAATTTGGTTTGGACGTCAAAAGAGTTCCAAGCATCAGTAGGCAACAGGCCAAGGAAGAATGAAGCCTACAGGGCTACGAACTCACCAGTTTCACGCACTGGATATCGTGTGTCAAACCACCCAAGGAAGAATGAAGTCTATAGGTCGATAAACTCACCACCAGTTTCAGGCACAGGAAATCGTGTGTCAAACCAGCCAAGGAAGAATGTTGTGTATGGGTCAAGGAGCTCGTCTATTTTAGGCTCCAGCGTTTGGAGGTCGGGAGATAATGGCAGTCCCAAGTCTAAGGAATGTGTATGCAAGTATTGGAAAGCTGGAAACTGCAAGAAGGGTGAGCAATGCGAGTTCTTACACTCTTGGTGTTGTTTTCCTGGCTTGGTGATGGTAGCTACTCTTCAAGGACACAAGAAGGTACTATTCACATACTGCTGTGATCCTCTACTTCGTTATTATTTTTAGCATGGTATGCATCGGGGTTTCGTTTTGAGTACTATTCAACTTCGTTACTATTCAGAATTTATTCACATGTAATTTTTCTTGACCGTAGGATATAAAGGGGATTGCCCTCCCTCAAGGTTCTGATAAACTCTACTCAGCCAGTGGCGATGGTGCTTTGAAAATATGGGACTGCCATACTGGTCAATGTGTGCATGAGATCAACCTCCAGGCAGAAGCAGGGTCTCTGATTAGTGAAGGACCTTGGGTTTTCCTTGGCTTGCCAAATGCTGTAAAGGTTAGTCTATGGCATTCTAAACTCAGGACGTTTATCTGTTTTCTAAATACCATCCTTTGAAATTCAATGGGATTCGTCTTGACTCTGGTCTCAAGTTTTTGCTGTAACATCTTGCAGGCTTTTAATGTTAAGACCTGTAAAGATTTGCATCTCAATGGTTCGGTAGGAGGTCAGGTGAATGCAATTGCTATTGGAAATGGAATGCTTTTTGCTGGGACAAGTGTAAGCCTTTTAACTTACTCCATCTCTACCTCTTTTAGTTCTTTGCTTTCCCGTTATTTCATCCAGATCTAAAGTGTGTTCCTTTTTGGTCTCGTTGGAATTACAGTCTGGTAGTATATCAGTCTGGAAAGGTACTGACACCGAGTCTGATCCTTTCAAATACCTCACATCTCTCGAGGGACATAGTGATGAAGTCAAGTGTTTCGTTGTTGGAGGTCAGAGGCTTTACTCTGGTTCTGTGGATAAAACCATAAAGGTACGGGGATGGTTCCATTTATTTCAATCTTTGCCGAATAAAAACTTGTCATGTTATAGAATTTATTCCAATCAAATTGTTCACTGTAATTTTCAGGTGTGGGATCTCGACACATTGCAGTGTATAATGACATTGAGGCAGCATAGCGACACTGTCACGTCGCTCCTATGTTGGGATCAATATTTGTTATCGTCTTCATTGGACGGGAGCATAAAAGTCTGGGGCTCTTCGGAAAGTCCCAACTTGAAAGTTATCCATACACGCAGCCAAGAACAAGTGAGTTGTAATAACAAGAATAATAAGAAGACTTAGTTTTTAAGAAATAGCATCCTGACTGTTATTTTCTGGTTTGAAACAGAGTGTGCATGCTCTATGTGGATTACACGATGCAGAGGCCAGGCCAATTATATTCTGCTCTTACCAAAACGGAACAGTTGGCATATATGATCTACCATCGTAAGTGAAACTTAATCCGAGAACCTCTCTAGTTTGTACTCTAAAGTCTAACCTAACCATCAGTTGTCTAATGAAATCTGAATCATCTCTCATGTTTGGTATACACAGTTTTGAAGAAAGAGGGACGATGTTCTCAACGCATACGATCGGCACACTTACAATTGGTCCTGAAGGATTGTTATTCAGTGGAGACAAGAGTGGGAAAGTGCGTGTGTGGAGCTTAAGTGGCAGCAAAGTGTAGAAATCTTCGACCAACTCTTTTGTTTTTTGTTTTGGTCGACTAGAATATTCATTATAATAATATAATGTAACATTGGTGAAGGTAAAACAAATACCATCGCTTTATGAGTGAAGAAATGTTCATTTCATGTTCGATTTCAATTGTTGGAGATCGTATGGTCTATAGTAGCTTTATATAAACGAAGATCATATTATAAACAGTAACAAGGCTCTTTCAGCATTGCCTCTAAAAAGAAGTCAGCTATACAAAAAAAAACATAACCATTCATAATAGAGGAACGAGCTTCTAGTTAAATTCAAGTCAAAAATCCATATTATAAAATAAAGGATAATCGACAAAGAAGGTTACTAGCTCAAATATCAACCAAAATTCATAATAAACGAAAAGAAAATTTGTAGCGAAGTGAATGGAATCATCTTCTTCTTCAGTCTCCCTTTTTCCTGAAAGAGCATCCTTCAGTGAGCAATGCCTTTCCTCCCGTGGGTGTGCAAAGCAAAGTCTGGCAGTTTCCACACACCACAACGGTCTGAGAGTGGCTGAACACCGTTGTACTGCACCAAATCCAAAACCATCACTTAGTTATTTCATATAGATTTATAACCAAAAACATTTACAGATTCAGACGTTCAAAAAAGCTTACATGTTAAAGCAGCCTTGACACTTGACATCCTACATCAAAATGATTATTGTCAGCACCCAAATGTTTGAACTTTTGAGAGAACCAAACTCCAAAATTCAATTCATAGGTAGCAAAAAGGTTTGAACTTTTTACCATGAAAAATGAATTGGGAGACTGAACAAGACGCTTAAGCTTGTGCTTCCTCTTCTCAAGCTCAGCAGGTGGGTTAAGCAGATCAATATCGTTTTGAAGGACCTGAAATACATTTATTCAAATTAATCTCACTTGTGGTGAATGAATCAAATCACGAAATCCAAATTCAAATCTCTTAAACCTAAGAATTGCCCTAAGAGAAGAAAAGCTTGAAACCTAATTCGATTTGTTCTTTGCTGTTCCCTACAGAAACTATCAGATTCGACGATGAAAAAGAAATTAAGGCCATCTCTAATGTTCTAAACAAGAGAAACGAAACGAGGTTAGAGATTGAGAAACGAGAACTAACCATTTTCGTTAGCTTATCAGAGATTCTGCAACGACAAGACTCAAGAGAGTATGGAATCAGCCGACAAATGTTCTTGGAAGATGTAAAACCCTAATTCGTACCACAAGGCCGCCTTATAGGTTCTGGTCCGAAAGGGCCCACTGTAACATTACTACTTTTCTTTCAACTTTGTCAGCATTAACATTTTGGGCTGAAGAATATTACATCTGGATCTGGTCCACTTTAATCTATTGGGCTAAATAATGGACCAATTTTCTTCTTCCACCTAATTTTAGTATTTCACAACCCCACATCATTAATTTAGAAAATCATTTGTCGGATTTAAAGCAAGAAATTAAAAGGGGTAAAAATCTATTTTTTTATAAAAAAAGCAAGAAATAAGAAGACATTTATAAAAAGGGAAAAATTGTAAAAAAAAAATTTGTGGTTTGAGTATTGGTGAATAAAAAATAATTAAAAAATTATAGCAATAGAAATTTTTTTTAATTTTTTTTTATGAATTTGTTGTAATAATAATATTTATCTTCCCAATTTTTTGTTTTCCCTCTTGTTTATTGAAAAGGTACACCTTTTGCCGCAATTTTTTTAAAAATTAATTTTGCTCCATTTAAAACACACCAAAAAATGCGACTTATCTGACTTTTTGACTTATTGAACGTCGTCGTCTTCGCTCTTACACTTTCTCTGTACTGTGGTTTAACACTCTCTATCTCTTTTGCCTCGCCGGAACCTAATGTCGAACACCGTCGAAGATGACGACGACGACTTCCAGATCCCTCCTTCCTCACAGCTTTCCATTCGAAAACCTCTTCAACCTACCAACGCTAACAACATCTCTCACCGCCGCCCTCCAAACAAAAAGCCCAGACTCAGCCGTAATCCTGGTAAGGAGAATGTGACTCCGCCTCTGTCTCCCGATGCGGATCTGTTCTGCTCCTCTTCTACTCCACTCTGTAGCTTAGATTGTATCCCATCTAGTGTTGATTGCTCTATTGGTCCAATTTCTTCTCTCGGTGAAGACGACCAAGTTTTAATCGATATAGTGGATAAGGACGACTCTATAAAGGTGAATCGTGAAGGTTATTTGTGTAATTCGGTGGAGGCTAGGTTATTGAAATCGAGAATTCGTCTCGGGTTTGATAGTGGAATCCATGAGGATGATGAAGGCTTTGTTGAGTCCAACTCTGAGCTTGATGTGTTGATAAAGCTTTGCTCTGAGTCTGAGGGTAACAGTGGAGAGTGTAGTTTAGGCAAGGATGATTCGATTCAATGTCCATTGTGTTCAATGGATATTTCAGCTTTGAGTGAAGAGCAGAGGCAAGTTCATAGCAATACTTGTCTTGATAAGTCATATAATAAGCCTCCTGAGCAAGTAAGCTTCTTTCTTATCTCGCAACTGGAATTGATATCAACCTTCAATTTTTAGCATTGAAATGTCCCCCAAAAGTGTTTGGATTTTATTCATTAGTTACTTCATTACGCCATTGATTGACTGCTGATTTGTAAATATGATTATTGTAGGACTCCTTGAGGAAATGCGATAATTCGTCTTCTCTTATTGAAGAATCGATTGATGATCCAGTTCAGCTTCCTCAGCTAGTTACTGACCTGTCTCCAGTGCTTAAATGGCTTAGGAGTCTAGGTTTAGCTAAATATGAAGATGTTTTTATTCGTGAAGAGATCGACTGGGATACCCTTCACTCACTCACTGAGGAGGTAATAGATCTATCACAATCAGTTTTTATTGATGTATGTGCATGTATATATAGCTTACTTGTTTTCACAGAGAAACAGCATTGATAATTGACTAGGTTATAACTCTACAGGATCTTCTAAGCATAGGTATCACGTCACTTGGTCCCAGAAAGAAGATTGTGAATGCACTTAGCGGACTTAGAGAACCCTTTGCATCTTCAGCTGAAGCGCAGGCACAGTCTCATTGTACAAGTAGCCATGTTACAGAGAGACAGAGGGACACGTCAACCACTCGTAAGGCAAGTGAGCCCAAAAAACTAACTGCAAACAAGTTGATTACAGAATTTTTCCCTGGTCAGGCTACCGAGGGTACAAAGATCAGGAAGGCCCCTAAAGAACCTGTCGCAGAAAAGAGTCCATCAGATTCAAGCTCTAGACGTGCTGTGAGAAGAAATAGCAACAATGGAAAATCTAAAGTCATTCCACATTGGAATTGCATTCCAGGGACACCTTTTCGAGTGGTAATTCTTCATAACAAGCCAGCCCATGGTTTTACTTCTTCGTCAAAGTTATAGCTCATGAATGCAACCTTGTTACATATTTCTCCTTCTCATTCAAGTCAAATATGCTCATGAAATTAGTCTTAAACGTCCTGTTGATAGTGAATATTTATGTTTACGCAATCTTTATGTTTGGTGACTTTCTGGTTTAATATATGTATGTAGGACGCATTCAAGTACCTCACACGCGATTGTTGCCATTGGTTTCTTACACACTTTCATCTCGATCGTAAGTAGTCTGCTGTATGTCTAATTATAGAAGAAGCCTGCATATCGTGGATTCAATGCTTAAAGTCTCTGTATTCTCATTTACAGATTATCAAGGTCTGACAAAGTCATTTAGTCATGGGAAGATATACTGTTCCTTGGTTACGGCAAAGTTGGTAAATATGAAGATTGGGATCCCTTGGGAGAGACTGCAAGTCCTGGACCTTGGCCAGAAGGTCAACATTGGGGGCATTGATGTGACATGCTTTGATGCAAACCACTGTCCGGGATCCATCATGATACTCTTTGAACCAGCCAACGGTAAGGTGCGTTCTTAAATTAGACACTTCCAGTGTGTAGTCATAAGCCTATGTTTAACTTTCCATTCACAAAATAATTATCCATGGACTCTGTTGATTTGTATAGGCTGTTCTACATACGGGTGATTTCCGCTATAGTGAAGAGATGTCAAATTGGTTCACTGGATCGCACATCAGCTCTCTTATTCTTGATACTACATACTGTAACCCCCAGGTTCGTCATCCGTCAATACTCTGTAGCATAAAGAGGGCTCAAGTTTTTCAGTTAACATATCTATTCAGTTTAAATTCGTATTTGAAATCCATTTTTGCCACAAGTTTTTCTGCATGATTCCACTCTTATGCGATTTCTTCATCTTACATTTAAGTTGAACAAAGAAGAGAACTTCTATGATCTTAGAGTTTACGTTTTCTTTTCAAAGCAAGAGTGGTTGATACATATGCCATCATTTGTTTGCAGTATGACTTTCCAAAGCAGGAGGCGGTAATACAGTTTGTTGTTGAAGCTATTCAAGCAGAAGCATTTAATCCCAAGACCCTTTTCTTAATTGGAAGCTACACCATCGGTAATATGTTCACTCTTCTGTTTCCGTTCGATATATCATGTTGAGATCTAAATTCTTCCATCTCTTCTCTTTTAAAAGGAAAGGAGAGGCTGTTCTTGGAAGTTGCACGTGTGCTACGGGAAAAGATATACATCAATCCTTCAAAACTAAAACTCCTCGAGTGCTTGGGATTCTCAAAGGAAGATATGCAGTGGTTTACAGTGAAGGAAGAGGAGAGCCACATTCACGTTGTGCCCTTGTGGACGCTTGCCAGTTTCAAACGGCTGAAGCATATATCTAACCGATACACAGTAAGAAACACATCCATTCGGTTTGACTGTCAAAGAAAAACAAAAAGAAGTGATTTTCTTTTTGGTTGATTTCTTTTGAGGATGAGTTCTAATACTGTTTTCTGTCCTGTAGAACCGTTACAGCCTTATCGTTGCATTTTCTCCTACTGGTTGGACATCTGGTAAGACTAAAAAGAAGTCCCCAGGAAGAAGGTTGCAACAGGGTACAATAATAAGGTAACTATTGCCCTATCTTCATGTTCTGTGGTATTGAGCTCAAAATCATGACCCGGAGAAACTTTATATATTTTTCAGGTACGAGGTTCCTTACAGTGAGCATAGCAGCTTCACAGAGCTAAAAGAGTTTGTGCAAAAAGTGTCGCCTGAAGTTATCATACCGAGTGTAAACAATGATGGACCTGACTCTGCAGCTGCAATGGTGTCTTTGTTGGTTACGTAGAACTGTGTTTTACATCTTTGATAAGCTCAAGTTTGCAACAAAAAGGCAGCCTCCTTGGCTACCAATTGAGCAGAGCCGTCAAAGATCTACAACGAAAATAGTTTATGTTATGTTCTATCTAATTGTAGTTATGTAACCAAATGATTATGTAGTGTTTTTCTTCACAAACTCAGAATGCCTTTATTATATCAACTTGTTTGGTCTTTACTTATCCACTGAAGAAATGCAAGTTGCAGACTAAATCCGTAATAAGAGACCAAGCTCATGGAATTGTTGATTTTGGTGCAATTTAATAAGGGAAATAGAAAACAATAAATCCTCTAATATCAATCTTCAAGTAAACAAATACATTAAGTTCGGTAGTAGTAGAGATTACAAACAACAAGTATCAAAATTTGTTATAAAAATCCTAGACAAAAAGCTCTCGTGGTCAGATCGTCTTATCCACCATGCAAAGTGGAAATGAAAACTACAACATCTTTTTCTTCGATTCTTGTATCGAGCTGACCGCTTAGCTCCCAATCACAGTCATTAACCAGCACAAGAACCCCAGGTCTCCTGCACAACATTTGATAAAACATTAACATGCATTGAGCTGATAAAGAAGAATCATTCATAAACATTAACCAACATTGAGCTGATAAAGAAGAAAAGTAGTCTTACACAGTATCTCCTTTCATGAACATCTCAGGTCTCTCTTTGATCAGATTTGTACGAACCCATGAAAGCAAATGCTTCATTGTAAACTAATCCAGGAATTAGAAAAGTCGAATGAGTAGAGAGAAAATTGCGAGCTTTATGATCCAAAAACATAAGAATTCAAGCTTACATCATCAGATTCAGCTCCATTGGGCAAATCGACGTTAACTTTATGAATCTTTTCAGAATCACAGAGCAGCTCTAATCCACCACTACACATCACATGAAAAGTTTCACTCTTCTAAGATCAATCATTGAACAAACAACTAAAACACACACATCGTTCAAGTTCTTCAATTTCAGCATTACATAGAATCAATCAGGAAAATAATCTCACAAGACACCAAATTCAACCGTATTTGATGATCCAATAACTAAACGAAAAGAGAGATTAATAATCGCAGGAAATTAACAGAGAAAGTGATAATCGTACCCGAATTCAAGAGTTAATTGCATCGTCTTTGATGTTTGTAGGAACCAAATTCAAAACCCCAGCTCTTCTAGGGTTTTCGTCTTTCAATCAGTGAAGTGATGATGCTCCAAGCTCCATTGTTCGTTCGTTTGGTGTTTTGCTCTTCATAACGACGTCGTTTAAGTTCAAGACATCGTGGGCTCTTTAATTGGGCCTAAGACATACAAGATAAGGCCTATTACTTTTCCCGATGAATCAATCTTATGTTAAAAACGACTCATTGCATCTTGACCGTTGATTATTAAGAACTGGAACATATTAACGGACAAGATTGAGTCCTAGCTTTTCACTAGAAAATAGATGGTGCCTCATATTTTCCCCAGCGACCGGCAAAATTGCAACCAAGAAGAGAAGAAAATCAGAGATTTAATAACGTGAATGGAATTTTCTTGTTTCCCAATTTCTTCTGTGAAATAGAAAAATTCAGTTTTGTTTCTCTATCTGAAGAAGCTCCATGGAAGCTTATAAGCAATGGGTTTGGAGAAATAGAGAGTATGTACATTCCTTAGGATCCTTTGCCAACGTAAGATTCATTATTACTCTTCTCCTTAATTTGTTTTCCCAGTTTTGATTATGTTCTGATTCTCTGTCGATTTGGGTTCGTTTTCGTTTCATCGTTAGTGTCAATTTCCAAGTTTTCATCGTCTCGTTGTTTGAATTTTTGCTTGAAGAGTTGTGTTTATATTAAAGTGAAATTTGAGATCGAAGCTTTTGTTTATTAGGTTTAAGATTGAAACCCTTTTCAAAAGTTTAAGACTTGAATCAGTTCCTTCTTTTAATTCCTAGTTGTGGAATTCATCAGCTGATAATTCGTCAATTATGTTTATTTTGTTGCAGGGATTGACATGGCTGCTTCCTGAGAAGTTTTCTGCTTCAGAGATTGGACCAGAAGCAGGTTTTGTGATACTTTGGTAACATTTTACTGCTTTCAATCTTAGAGTAACTGTTTCCTTTATCCGTGTTAGCTCCTAAAGTCTCTTGTTTGAAAAATGGAACACTGTCCTATACTCAGTTTATATCGGTTCTTCTCAAATCATATACTTCACTTGTACCCAGGGCTGCTTGTACCTCCTCACATGTTTTGTGTCCTAATTCGTTAACATTAGAATTTAAAAGAATGTTTCTTTCTTTCTTTTGTGTATCTATGTTGTACTTTTATATTTGGATGTGTGATGAAAGTTTTGGTAATCTTCTTTGTAGTAACGGCTTTTTTGGGCATATTTACAACTATCAATGAACACATAATTGAAAATGCTCCAACACCTCGTGGCCATGTTGGATCTTCCGGGAATGAGCCATCCCTTTCTTATCCGCTACTCATCGCCATCCTAAAGGATTTGGAAACTGTTGTGGAAGTGGCAGCTGAACACTTCTATGGAGACCAAAAATGGAACTACATTATTCTCACTGAAGCTATGAAGTAAGCTTGCTTTCTTCTGATCACTTGGATCTACACAACCTACTTAGTTGGCATTTTGATATCTGGAAAACTGTGTATTTTCAGGGCTGTCATTAGGTTAGCCTTGTTCCGGAATAGTGGGTATAAGATGCTTCTTCAAGGAGGGGAAACACCTAACGAGGAGAAAGATTCTGACCAATCCGAGTCGCAAATTAGAGCTGGTAATTTAGGTAGAAATCTCGGGCCTCATAGTCTTGGAAACCAAAATCATCATAATCCATGGAACTTGGAAGGTCGGGCGATGTCAGCTTTAAGTTCATTTGGTCAGAATGCAAGAACAACAACAACATCTTCTACCTCCGGTTGGTCTCGAAGAATTCAACATCAGCAAGCAGTTATAGAGCCTCCAATGATCAAGGAGAGGCGAAGAACGCTCTCCGAGCTACTATCTGAAAAGGGTGTTAATGGAGCGTTGTTTGCAATGGGTGAGGTTCTTTACATAATGAGACCGCTCATTTACGTTCTTTTCATCAGAAAATATGGAGTCCGATCTTGGATTCCTTGGGCTATATCGCTTTCTGTGGACACACTGGGAATGGGTATTCTTGCAAATTCTAAGTGGTGGGGAGAGAAGAGCAAGCAAGTCCATTTCTCAGGACTTGAAAAGGATGAGGTTAGAAATCTCTCAGACCTCAATACAGTAATGTTGAACCGATTTAACTGATATTTCTTGTTACTGCTTCAGCTGAGGAGACGAAAGCTGCTATGGGCATTGTACCTCATGAGAGATCCATTCTTCACAAAGTACACAAGGCGAGTGTTATGAGTGGCATTTCTTTAGCTAGGGGTGCCTAAGCCGTTTTTTTGGTTTGGTTTTTAGGCTTATGAAGTTTAGAAACCTAAGGGAAGTAAATATTTGTAGTTGCTTTGGTTTCAATTATGGCTTGTTCTGAAATGGGAATAATTGAAACCGAATTGGTTCATTTCCTCGTGGCTCTTATGTTCGTACGCTTAGCTTCAGTTAATAGAAGATTGGGGATCCCTAAGTTTAGGCTTATAGCTTAAGCTATCTCGGTTACTAATAATCCAAATACATGCTTGCCTTGCGATTGCAGGCAGAAGCTGGAAAGCTCTCAAAAGAGGCTGGAACCAATTCCATTGATCGGATTCCTCACAGGTTTACTTTTGAAGCTTTCATTTCATTCATGAGATAACTGATTCTCGTGTTTACTTGCATCTACTGACATTATTTTGGTTCTCTCGTGGAAATTGCAGAGAAGATTGTGGAGCTTTTGGAGGGAGCTCAGTCACGGTACACTTACATATCGGGATCGTGAGGCTAAAAGTTTACTTATGGTTTTTATGCAACAGAAGAATATCGCCCATTGTTGGAATGCTTTTTAGATCTTCGAAGGCTCTTTGCAGCAGATTCATAGGGAATGGTTTCAGGCTTTTGTAAGAAATTGTGTTTATTTGCAGTTAGAGAACATAACAAGGGACAGATGTGTCTGATGAGGTAAGCTTCTCTATGTCTAAAGAAACGACCAATACGAATAAAACAAGCATCATTAATGCAGGATGATTAAATGATTTGTCAGAAATACTACTACAGTTACTTATGTAAAACTGTGTGGTTAGTGAAAACTAAAAACATCTAAATCCAAATTTACGAATCACTAATCAGCCTAAATTATTAATGCTGACGTAACGAATGATATCCTGTCGATGGTAGGGCAAAAGTTGGTGGCTTGCTAAAATTACAACATTATCCCTCGGTGGTGGACCCGAATCTGTTATCGCAAAACGTGGAACCCACTTGGTTTAAGCCTGAAAGGTTACTACCGGTTAAACCGGTTTTTAATTTGTGTTTAATTTTTTTTTTTTTTTTGGACAAATTGTGTTTAATTCTAATCCCGGATCCGTTTTGTTCGTTTGGTAATCTCTAGGGTCTAGGCCAAGTCACCAATATTTTGATTTTTGAGTGGGCAGGGAATGGTGGGGTCAAATAGTTGGGCCTAGACCTCAACAATGTATGGTGTGAGACCGGCACTGGAGAGAGTAGGGTCCAGCTCAGGCCCACTTTCACTCGTTTTCGTTTTGTAGCCTTTCTTTTCTGGTGCATACGGTCCCTCTTTCTGGTCGGTCATATACATATGTACAAGTAGACGTAGTATAGCTAGTGGTTCAAACCCGTTTCGGTTAGTTTGAATCGGTTACATCTAGTTACTGTCGAACTAAGAATTAAACCGATTACTTTTATCTGATTTCTAGTTCGGTTTGTACGTTTAATATCCGGATTGAATATTTGTTCAAGTACACAAGTACGTAAGTATGCGTATATCTTTGTGACCGGTTTAGTTAAAGGACGATAGGAGGATTTTGGAATCCTGGAAAGGATTATTCCATAGACACTAATTAGCTTTTTGGTGGCGCAGCCTTGTGACCTACATTAATGGGGTCCAGCCCCAAGTATGGGCTTACAGCTTTTTCCATAAGAAAAAAAAAGATTATTTAAATCTTTTCAACTATTAGAAAAGTTAAATTTGACGGCTTAAAACCTATTATTGGCGATAGAAATTTTTTGCACCAAGCTAGGTAATTCATTACTAGTAACCAGAAAGAGTTTCAAATTTTTGATTTCGAAGCTTCTCTTAGGTTAAAAATTAAAAACCAAGTTGTGTATATTACTAAACAGTAAAAAAAAACTTTATGAAAAAAGAAATAAAGTTTACTGGACCCCATTATACAGATGGTCCCATAATAATACTGATAGAAGATATAGCAATGGAAGGGGATTTGTCCACGTGGTACAATCCGAATGGTTCTTTAAAGCTCATCAAGCACATCAACACCGTTGATTTTTCCCGCATCAAAAAGCGTTCAATAATCAACACTATTCTCACTTGTCTTCTTGCTCCTATATATATAGAGAGACGAGTCACATTGAGTAATCTCCTTCTACGTGTAACGCCGTTAAAACGATTCTTTCCCATTGTATCCGCTTTTAACAACTCTCGTCGTCATCTCCATCGTCCATTTTCTCTCAGCTATATTTTAATGGCGACGATTCAGAAGCAAGAAGAAGTTGGAGGCAAAGATCAAAGCCTAAGAGCCGTTGATCTAACCATCTTCCACGGCGTCAGAAACGTCGAAACTTCAAGACCTTTCCAAGTAAACCCCACAGTGAGTCTCGAGCCCAAGGCGGAGTCGGTGATGCAGATGCAGGCTCCATCGATTTCAATGTCTTTAACTCCACCTTCGTCGACGGGACCACCATTGAAGAGAGCTTCGACTAAAGACCGTCATACGAAGGTTGAAGGAAGAGGGAGAAGGATACGGATGCCTGCCACGTGTGCGGCTAGGATTTTTCAACTAACTCGAGAGTTAGGTCACAAATCCGACGGCGAAACGATTCGGTGGCTGTTGGAGAACGCTGAGCCGGCGATTATCGCCGCCACGGGAACGGGAACGGTTCCCGCCATCGCTATGTCGGTTAACGGAACCTTAAAAATCCCGACGACAACGAACGCTGATTCTGATTTGGGTGAAAATCCGATGAAGAAGAAACGTAAACGACCTTCTAACAGTGAGTATATAGACATAAGCGACGCCGTTTCAGCTTCCTCCGGTTTAGCTCCCATTTCCACGACGACAACGATCCAACCTCCGCCAGCTCTGGCATCATCCACCGTGGCTCAGCAACTTCTGCCGCAAGGAATGTATCCGATGTGGGCTATTCCATCAAACGCAGTGATTCCGACGGTCGGAGCTTTCTTCTTGGTTCCACAAATCGCTGGTCCGTCGAATCAGCCTCAGTTATTAGCTTTTCCCGCCGCGACTCCGTCGTCTTACGTCGCCGCTGTTCAGCAGGCTTCCTCGATGGCTAGACCACCTCCTCTTCAAGTTAGTCCAAGCAGCGGCTTTGTATCCGTTTCAGACATTAGCGGTTCGAATTTATCAAGAACGACGTCGGTTATGGCTCCAAGCTCAAGCTCCGGCATAACAACAGGTGGTTCATCGTCTACTGCAACAACAACGACGCACACGCTCAGAGACTTCTCGCTAGAGATATACGAGAAACAAGAGCTTCACCAGTTCATGAGCACCACAACAACACGGTCATCGAACCACTGAAGAAAAGAAAGAAAAACGACGGCGTATTAGTGATCGGAAAAGGCACGTGGGCACGTGAAGAAGTGCACGTGTTAAGAAGTGGGCCTAGATTTTAGGCAGAAGTGGGTCAACACGCACCAAAAAGCAAAGAGAGAGAGTGGGAGGAGGAAGGGAAGGGGCCACACGGCTCCCACCTTACGCATAGCTTCCGAGGCAGCCAGGTTGGGTGTGGTCCCCAAATGGTTAGAGCTACGTGGTCCGTATGAGTAGGACCAGCTTAAGCATAATTCCGAAACGTTTCGTTTTTTTGGTGGGGGCTCACCACTTTGTCTTGACTTTTTTGGTCTTTGTAATTAACAAAAAATATTTATTGAAGCCCTCTCTAAGTCATGGTCCACTCAACAACAATTGTGATATTGATGTTTTGATTTTATTTAAATCTGTAACAAAATAAATATATATTTTTTATCTAAACGAAAATTCTAATGTTGTTTTCCTAAAATTGTTGTAGCATTACTTTTTAGATGATTCCATTTTCTTAGAAGTGTTTAAAAAGCTTTTTACATAAAAGCCTCGTCCGTGTTATTGGCGGGGCCTAGTAAGCTTGATTGTACCACTAATACGGCGTTGTTTCGTGGGGCCTGAGAGCTTCCCACTCAAGGGACGCCTAGTTGGGTCAGCACCACCAGTTTAACGCTAAGGAAATAAAGGAACAGGCTGGCGTGGGTCATACTTGTGTTTATCTAATCTTTACCGTTCAATTCCATCTTCTTGTCCTAACCGTTGATTCTATTTCGTTCCTTTTTTAATTAGTAGTAGTAGTAGTAGTAGTAGATATTTTCTTCTTGTCACGGTCTCAACGCCAGACAGGATTTACTATAAGATAACTTTGTTTATGTTTGATTTATTAATCAAGTTAAACCATGGTTCTCCGTTTCACACCGTTGATATATATATATATATTTTAAGCTATGTATGAAAGTAAAACTTTAAAAGGTTACAAATGAATAATTGGAGGCCTAAACCAACTTGGTGGATGGGGGAAAAAGGTCCAGAAGTGTTGGCTATAGGAGTCCACGTGGACTTGAACAAATGACTTGTCGTTCTCTTCTTTTATTTCAGTGGACCTCATTCATTTTTATTTATCTTTAGCCTATAAATTGTTCCTTTATTTTTCTAAAAAAAAAAAAAAAGTTTTTTTATCCAACAACAGAAAAACCACCTATGCTTTTTTAGTTTCTTGCTTGTGTGCCATCAAAGAATTAAGCCCAAAAAAGAATAAAGAAGTGGTATGTTCTTACATAACATTGGGTCCAAAATATTTAAGGCCCATTATTTTGTGGATCCAAAATATTCAAGGCCCATAAGACTAAAACTCTTCTTCCTCCCCGCGACGTCTCAACTCAACGGTTGCTTCAAACTCGTCGGCTCTCGACGAACCATCACGGGAAACCCCGAAATTTTGAGTCATTGCGCCACGACGAAGTCCTAATCAAGAGGACAAAGGTTCTGGTAAAACGGAAAGTTCAAACCCTAAGTTATGAATTTGCATATAAGCCATCTTTTGACCCTTTCAGATACCTTGTATAAACCAACTCGCCTTGGTGGAGTGGTAAAATAGAGATAATTCTTCTCTTTTTTACTTGCCGATAATTGTATAACGCAAAAGACTTAGCATATTATCTTTTGACACACGTTTCAAGTCAATGATTTCGACATTTGCTTTATTATATTGGTATGTCGACCAAGATGTCAATTAAGGGGTGGACAAAGGACAACGATTTACTGTTTTCAAATATCTCGATTATGATTAACTAGTACCTTATAAACCTCTGGATGTTATCTCTATTTTAGAAAATCTGGATATCCCCATAATAACAACATCCATGTTCCAAACTAAAAATGGAATTATCATTTCTGTTTTTTCATAAAACAAAAAAAAAATGAACATGGTATTAATAACTTTACATAGATGGTTTTTTCTAAATAATATATTTTCCATTTGTTATTATGACAACAAGGCCATGCCGAATCCATGTGAAATCATGATCCTTATATAAATTACCTGTCCGCGTTGACGAAAAACTTTATCGTGCCCTCTTGTAATTTGTATAATGATCTATTTGCTAAACTACAGCTGCAATATAAACAGTTGTTCTCGTTAAGTTAATTAACTCTAAAATGTTTCATATTCTAACAGAATAAACAACACTCAAACATGTTGAAGAATAATAAATACAGTAATTTACAGAGATATATAATTTAATTCTTTTAATTTTTTTTTTTTTGTCAACAGCTTAAATTAAATTCTTTTAAATTTGTTGAACAGAAAGAAAAGAAAAAAAAGAGATTAGAAAGAAACAAATAACATTCCACCACAAGCGTGTACCAATCTCTCCCGCTCTGTCTCTCTCTTTCCTCCATCTCTCTGTGTTCTTCTTACAGACACCGAGAGAATGGCGGATCCTGATTTGTCGTCTCCGTTGATCCACCATCAATCCTCCGATCAACCTGAAGTTGTTATCTCAATCGACGACGACGAGTCAGGACTCAATCTTCCCGCCGTTGATGACCCTCGTGTTTCACGTGGTTTTGAGTTTGACCATCGTAATCCTTATGGGTTTCTCAGCGAGTCCGAGCCTCCGGTTCTCGGTCCGACGACGGTGGATCCATTCCGGAACAATACACCTGGAGTTTGCGGATTGTACGAGGCGATTAAGATCGTGATTTGTCTTCCGATTGCTCTGATTAGACTTGTTCTGTTTGCTGCTAGCTTAGCTGTTGGTTACTTGGCTACAAAATTAGCTCTTGCTGGCTGGAAAGATAAAGAGAACCCTATGCCTCTTTGGAGATGTAGAATCATGTGGATTACTCGGATCTGTACCAGATGTATCCTCTTCTCTTTTGGGTCAGTAATCTTGTCCATTACTTAGTGATTGCATTCAAAGTTTGTGTTTTTTTTCTAGCCTTAGATTTTAAAGTTACTGTTTTGCTGATTATTGATTGAATCAAAAGATTTTTTTTATAGAGAGATAGAATTGAGGAATGGTCAATTTAGTTTCAAAGGTGTTTAGATAGTTTGTTTCATTATGTTTGCTTACCATGGCTACATTCTCCAATGTTCATATATCTTTATTGGTTCTGCAGTTACCAGTGGATAAGACGGAAAGGGAAACCTGCTCGCAGAGAGATTGCTCCCATCGTTGTATCGAACCATGTTTCTTATATTGAACCAATCTTCTACTTCTATGAATTATCACCGACCATTGTTGCATCTGAGTCACATGATTCACTTCCATTTGTTGGAACTATTATCAGGGCAATGCAGGTCAGCTAGCACATATTGGTTTTTGTGTAGTTTATAGTTTCAGTTTTTTTCAAGTTTTGTGTTTGAACTTTGTAGGTGATATATGTGAATAGATTCTCACAGGCATCAAGGAAGAACGCTGTGCATGAAATAAAGGTATAGAGTTTCTGTGACATTTTTATTTTGATGTCTGTTGTATTTTTAATACTGAGTAACTCTATCAAAGAAGAGATTTGTGTATACACCATTTTCATGAATTCTGAACTATTTGTGGTTGAAAAGGATTCAAATGGTTTTTTGTATTTGATACGGAATGTGCTTTCAAGGATGTAAATACAGAGAAAAGCTTCCTGCGATAGATTTCCTCGTCTGCTGTTATTCCCCGAAGGAACCACGACTAATGGGAAAGTTCTTATTTCCTTCCAACTCGGTGCTTTCATCCCTGGTTACCCTATTCAACCTGTAGTGGTCCGGTATCCCCATGTACATTTTGATCAATCCTGGTGAGACTAGTTTGTGTTTTTCGCACTTTACACTTCTCCGTAAAATAGACTGCCTCCTTACTGATTTTGATGACACTTTCAGGGGAAACATCTCTCTGTTGATGCTCATGTTTAGAATGTTCACCCAGTTTCACAATTTCATGGAGGTAGGCAATGTGCATATCGCGTAAGCCTAGTTGATTGATTGTCTTGTTGTAGACTTTCACTTATTCGGATAAACTTTTTTCGAAATCAAACAGGTTGAATACCTTCCAGTAATATACCCCAGTGAAAAGCAAAAACAGAATGCTGTGCGTCTCTCACAGAAGGTGTGTGTTGGTGGAGATAACTATATGGAGATTACTTTTCTACATTAATTGCTTCTTTTATGGTGAAAAATAGTCCTTATGGTGTACTTTTGAATTCAGACCAGTCATGCAATTGCAACATCTTTGAATGTCGTCCAAACATCCCATTCTTATGCGGACTTAATGCTACTCAACAGAGCAACTGAGTTAAAGCTGGTATGTGCAGCTCATGAATGGTTTTGCGCTCTTAAATAGTTTTCCATGTTGTCTCTTATCTCTGTCTCATAGTTTGTTCAGAATTACTCTGAGCCACAAGTCATGAATTCTTGTTCATGGAAGCTTGAAAATAACTTCCCATGTCAGGAAACTGTTCTCTGGCTGATCATTTATTTCATCTTAATTGTTCTGTTGCAGGAGAACCCCTCAAATTACATGGTTGAAATGGCAAGAGTTGAGTCAGTAAGTTTATCATCTAACACCATAAGTTTGTTGCTTCTCGTTAACATAGAGGAATATCATTCATTATGGTTTTGTGGGGGTACATGAAACTTTAGATAAATATGTCTAACCTCACTATTTTGATGGTGTCTATATGTTCATTCAATGTCCCTATTTTTGTCTCCCTAGTGAATATGTTTCTCTGTCTTTGTTCCTTCCAGCTATTCCATGTAAGCAGCTTAGAGGCAACACGATTTTTGGATACATTTGTTTCCATGATTCCCGACTCGAGGTGATGAATTTTCTCCTCTAAGTAACCACAAAAGTGATATTACTATATCTGTCGGCGTTCCAGTGCTTGAAATATCAGATTTCCCTACAACCTCAAGAATTTTATCCATTTTGCAGTGGACGTGTTAGGCTACATGACTTTCTTCGGGGTCTTAAACTGAAACCTTGCCCTCTTTCAAAAAGGGTTAGTTAAGATAAGATACAATTGTCTTTTTTGTGTGTCGATATGATTGAGAAAGTTACTTATACAAGCATACTGCTGTAGATATTTGAGTTCATCGATGTGGAGAAGGTCGGATCAATCACTTTCAAACAGGTAAGTTGAGGATTTTTATATGAAACAATATCTTTGCGAAGAAACAATAAACCTTTGCAGAAAATCTTAGTATAGAATCCCTAATACATCTTACTTCTTCTGCTGCTGATTGGTCTGCAGTTTTTGTTTGCCTCGGGCCATGTATTGACACAGCCGCTTTTTAAGCAAACATGCGAGCTAGCCTTTTCCCATTGCGATGCAGATGGAGATGGCTATATTACAATTCAAGAAGTAGATTCAATTCTCTTTAATTCTTCACACATCTTTCTCATATTTGCTTTTGTGTTCTTATGAGTGTACATCTTTGACTCAGCTTGGAGACGCTCTCAAAAACACAATCCCAAACTTGAACAAGGACGAGGTAAGTGTAAATAGATTCACCCATGATCTATCGGAATCAAAATCCAAATATCTTAAAAGATGTATAGCCTAATGGTTTGGTAAACTCATGTTTCAGATTCAAGGAATGTATCATTTGCTAGACGACGACCAAGATCAAAGAATCAGCCAAAATGACTTGTTGTCCTGCTTAAGAAGAAACCCTCTTCTCATAGCGATCTTTGCACCTGACTTGGCCCCAACATAACACAGAGAGACAAAATGGCTGGCTAAGATTTGTGATGGGTGCGATGATTATAAACTTGTCTTTGTGGTATATTATACCTTTTGTTTTGTCTTCATATTTCATTTCAGCTAGTAAAAAGAAGGGACTGCTATGTTTTTGGCCTATATATACCCTCCTCCTCCAGCATGGATCCATCCTTTTGAGTGCTGGACTATAACTGCGTGTCGTTTTCTACCCCAAAAAACGCTATGGTGTTTGCTCCTCTAGTTCTGAGCAAACTTTGCTGTATTTGTTTTTCTTCTTTTTTTTTTTTTTTTCCATTTTTGGGGTTACATTACATATGTATTATCCAACAAATTTCGATTGTATTCAGTATGAGTTTTATATTAAAATATTTTACCCAAATCTCGTATAATAAACCATATAGTTTTAACTTTTTTGACATCTGAAATCCAATTAAACAATTAAATTATTACTATACTATTTGCATAGTGCAAGAATAAAAAGAAAAGCCCAGGTGGGGAAAAGCTGACGCAAGCATAGTTTATAGATAATTTAATTAATGGATTATTAAAACATAAGAAAAAAATAAAAGGAACCACGAGAATCAGAAGATGAAAAAAAGACCGTTGGATGAAAGAGCATAGGGCGGTGCACAGCACGCTCTGTGGTCCCCTACACAGAGGAGATGAATCTCCTCATCCTCCTTATTACAGGACCCATGTGCCCGACATGTGTCGGTACCTCAACTGGGAAGTGCCAACTCTCTCACCAATGGCCACTTCTAATCTCTCCTTCACAGTCTCCAATTAACTTCATTTTCCTAATCCTCTTTATCCGACATTTTAATTTTTAATCACAATTCCTTAATCATACTTACACAAATATAGTACTACTACTCCATTAAACAAAGGTTCTATTCTACTTATTGGCTAACCAAATATTATATGGTTTTTCTTAGGCGTTGATTTGTACTTGTATATTTAGAGATATAAGTGGATTCCAATGAAATGCTAATTAATACATGTGCAAATGTTATTGAGGCTATTGATTTATAACTCCCCCAAATCACGCGTCTACACAAAGTTAACCAACTAATAAAGATTTTCGTCTATTTTAATTTTGTAATTTTTTTTTGTTTGGTGGATTAAAAGCTTCATCTATAGTTACTCGCTTGTGATAGTATATATGATTTTGTTATAACTAATAAATCATTATCAACTACCATGCTTAAGATTCACAGACATCGCTCGGAATTATTTTTGAAGAATTTTAGATTAAATTTACCTTTTTCAACAATCTAGTTCGGAAAAAATGTATCATGGACGATGAGTAAGTACTACATCTTTATGGTTTAAAAAATGGCTTACACGGTTTTTTTTTTCAATTTTGCACATTTAGTTGTAACTAATTTAATTTACAAATAAATCCTTTATTGGCTAGATTGTTTTTAAGTGATCTTTTTCAGCTACCCTTATGACCTTACCCACATAGAAAACAATTATTGAGGCGAGAAAAACGCTTTTGGGATACACAGTACTGGTTTTATTGGTGATCGAAGAATGTAGAAGGGAAGAGACCAAACAAAAATCACAAAATTACTGATGCATGAAAGTGCATAAACAAAAATGTGCATGGCAGTCACGGGCATCTTTCACAGACTAAAATGCAGAAGCTTCAAACTCCCACCAAACCTAAGAAAACCAAACAAAAATCACAAAATTTGGTAGAAAACAAAAGGAGTAGGTTTATGGATAACAAAGGAATCTGTCCTTTTTCTTGGGTGCATTCACAAATTACAAACATGTTTTATATATTTTTTTCATCTCAGTAACATACATCATGTCGATATGAATTAACATGTAGATTCAAAAATAGTGATAATATACGTTATCATTAGGGAAAATTAGATTGAGTACCACATTTGGCCCAAAATTTAGATCCAGTACCACTTTCGAAGCCCAGTTAGCATCTATACCACAATTGATGTGTGTAATGACCATTTTGCCCTTCCTTTTGTTTGCTCAAATTTCGGGGACAAAATTCATAGATTGAGGACACAAAAAGAAGTTTACATACAGTTGTCCCCGAAGTTTGAGTTTCTCCATAATTTCATCTTATTTTTGCATGTTTGCTAGTTTTTGTCCCTTAATTTTAATTCATTGTTCTTGGATTTTAGTATATAAACTCTAATTGCGGTCTTTTCATTTTGTTTGATGTTTATATTTCGTTTAATTATTGTCCCCGAATAGATTTTTTGTCCCCCCAGATACTTGTCCCTAAATGTTACACTTTATCTGTCACATCAGTCGAGGGCAAAACCGTCTTTTTCATACCACAATAACACATGAATGTAGTACAAGTGCTAAATCATTCTCAATTGTGGTAGAGATGGTAAAGAATTTGAAAAATGTGGTAAATTTGGCGGAAATCCAATCATTAGGTAGATGGTGATAAGATAATGAAATAAGATATGAATTTAAACACCTAAAGAAGTGATGATGACAAAAAAAAAAAAAAAAAAACTAAAGAAGTGAATATAGTCATATACATGTAAGGAAAATTAAAACAAAGGAGCCAAAAATAGATTTAACCTAAAAGAGGAAGTAAAGAGGTTATAAGAGGTAAGAAAAGTAGGACCATATAATAGCTATATTGTAGAATTTATTATTTGGAGATATGCAAATTTTTGTGGGGGTCCCATTGAGGACTAAAGTGTGGAGCACGATTTATCTTTGATATTAATAAAATAATAAATATATTATTATTGTCTCGGGATTTTTCGATTGATGAGAAAAAGTAAGAGGTGCGTTTTCGAATTATCATTGGCTAACGTTTGTACGTGAATGTACGGACGATGTTGATGTATTTCTAATATTGTACGCTCTTTTTTTCCCACCCTTATTTCTCTAATTCTTGTCCGTTAACCCAAAACTAATTGTTGTTTAATCATTCAGAATTTTGATTTAATTCAAAGACATTATAGATTATGATTTGCATGAAATTATTATGACTGGTAAGCTCATGAAATCTCCATATATATCACTATTTTGGAAGTTACTAACTATACATCTTTTTTTGAAAGCAAATGCACTTCATTCCTAAACTTGTTGTAGTGTTACGAGACAGAGATGGTCAGGCATACAACGAGGATGATCAGAGAATTGTTGAACATGGATACAAGGTTTTTATAATGTAATGGCAACAAAGAAACTTGATACCAAATTTTAGCAATGTTTCAATTTTTTTTTCTATACTAGAACTTACATATCTCAGAATTAAATTATTGTTTATACTCTGGGATCTCGAAGCGAAAATTAGATTTTTATATGCTATGTAAAAAATCGAATTTTTACTACCACTTAAAATAATTGTAGCGGTCAATCATATCTGAAATTAATCGCAGTGAACAAATCCTGAAGCATAGTCTGGTTCTATTTTACTTTCGATGTGACATATTACTAACACAATTCTTTTAAATTATAGGACGAATCCTTTAAGTTAATGGATAGATGATTCAGTTACGTTATATACTTTTGTTTTGGATTTGTCTCGACCAGTTAAGAAATGTTCATAATTACTAGTAATGAAAGTGTTTTATGTTTACATACTAAACCAAACTTTAAACCGGGTTACACATGGGTGTTTATACAAACACAAATATATAAAGATAAGAGACAATTCACTCAAAAATTATCCATCAGATTTTCGTACCTATCTGTGATATTTAATATATATAAATACGTTTAACTTATTTCACCAGAGAAGATGTGTATCTTTTCGAAATAAGTAGTTTGTGTGGTCCTCCCTATATAGATAAAGATCATTAGATTTCGATTAACAAATTTATCTCCAAAAAAGGATATTTTTTGGTGCCACTAGCTAGACAAGACGTTCGATAAGCTGAATTATTATTGGATTTCTAAGTTACGTTTTCTTTAGTTAGAAAAATATAATCCGAGGGACCAAAATTGGCAAATGCCGCTTTAGACACGTCGCTACTCAACGCCATTGCCTCATTATCTCTGACTCTCTGTACTGGCCTCCAAATATTTGGATTGGTGGTCATTTAGGTACCGAGGAAATTATATTTTCTAATGTGGTTTTGTTAATAAACTACGATTGCTAGTGATATTAATCATTCACGTAGAGATGTAAGGTTATGTCATATAACTAAGAACACAATTTAAACAACAAAAACAAAACAATGGAAAAACATGCATATAAAATATACAAATTCAATGAATTTAATCTGTTGGAATGAAAGATATAAAACACTAATAAAACCAATTTAGTTAGTTGTATTACTCACAGGTTAATAAGTAGGATATTCTTATTTTCATATCAATTACAAGTGGGGGCATATAGGTCTGAGAGAGTATTTGTGTCCACATTAAAAACAAAAAGATATTTCTTATAAGAAAATTTATTAAATAATTTGACAGCCATTTCCATCCAACTAGATATTTATGGAGGGAAAAAGATGTGTATGTAAAAATTGCCATATGTATCAAAATATGCTATTTTTGGTCTTTCTTAAGGCTTTTTTCCAAAATAAGTAAAGGATGAGGTTTCAAGCGACCATCATATTTTCGACACATATGACTGACTATTTAGCTCCTCCTTTTTTCTTTCTATTATTTTATTATATTTAATTCTTTCTCCAAGAAATAAAAAAGAAAATTTTGTTTCACAACACCATTACCACAACTACAACGAGAAGAGGATCTTTTTAAGGAGAAAAGCAGAGAGAGAAGAGAGTGTCTGAAGTTTTTTTTTTTGTCTTTTGTTTCTTTTATTACACACAAATAGATGAAACGAGGAAAGCTACTTCTTTTGCTACTTCCATAAAAAGGTTCTTCCTTTCGCAGAGAATCAAGTTTGATCATCTTCTTCTTCTTTTTTTCTCATCTCCCTCCATTAATGCTTATATAGTCTCCTATATCTCTACCTATACATACACAATCTTGTACCTCTTCTGGTAATATATCCTCGCAAGCTTCCTGGTTAGGTTTTTGTCAAACCCTTTTCGCCAATCGGTAAGATCTCTTCGACATGATCTTTCCTTTTTCTTTTGCTTTGTACTCTGATGGATCTCAAACCTTAGATGGGTTTGGTTTCATTTTGTTCGATTTGATGTTTTTGGTTTCTTTATCCTAAATCTCATGGAACGAGGTTGCATCCTTCAATTAAACCGAAAACAAAAGTTTCCATTACAGACTTATAGATCAGCTACTTTAGATTGTTTTGCTTTTTTTCGTTGACTTCATCAGTCTCCTCCCACCCAAAAATAAAAAGTCTTATGTCGAGCATATCTCCATTTTTTTTAACCTACTCTCTTTGATTCATATATCAAATGGGTTGTTTTATGTGTATGACTAATCTTGTTACACCATTGATCTCCCGTTTTCAGCAATTAAAGAAAAATAATTTACTTTTTTTTTTTTTTTTTTTTTTTTTCTGTGAAAGGGAAATTAATTAAACAAGAAGATGGTGAGGGGCAAAACTCAGATGAAGAGAATAGAGAATGCAACAAGCAGACAAGTGACTTTCTCTAAACGAAGGAATGGTTTGTTGAAGAAAGCCTTTGAGCTCTCAGTGCTTTGTGATGCTGAAGTTTCTCTTATCATCTTCTCTCCCAAAGGCAAACTTTATGAATTCGCCAGCTCCAAGTATGTTTCCTTTTTTTTTTTCTTCTTATAAATCATCCAGAGAAAGAGAGAGATATTTCATTAATAGCCTCTCTATTTCTATCTTAATTTTTATATCTCTTGGTTTATATATGGATTAATTGATTGGCTTTTTGTGGAATCACATCTCTTTGACGTTTGCTTTGAGAGGTGGGTTAAATTAATGAGTTTCTTGGTTTCTGCAAAATTAGGGCTATTATTAAAGTAGTATCAAGTACATATGATATACTCTTATTTGTTTTTTTTCCCGCTAGTACATCAGCTTGTTTAATCATCTGTCTCTCTCTTTCTCAATTAGTTTCTCAAGTTATGATATAAATAAAATGTGCTCTCTGGTAAGCAAATTTACACTTGTTAGATATTTGATCTTCTTAGATCTTATTAGAGATCATGATCACACATATGCACAACTTAATTTAATTGTTTTAATTAGTATTCTTTTGGTTTGAGATGACACACGATCTGGTTGAATTAGATTGTCTTGTTATTGGTTTAAGCAAAACATGTTTGTGATGGCTATGAAGTTGTTTCATCATTCCTGATTTATTAATCACTCGTGCTTCATTTTATGATCATTCCTAATTTAGTGCAATTTGTTTGAATATTTGTTCCTGATTTTGACATAGAAACTCAATGTTGATTGTTTTTGAGGATAATAAAGAGTTTTTATCTTGTAGACTTGTACTGTTAGGTAGAAGGGAAACCAAACTTATTTTTCATGAATCATTACTTCTGTAAATGGAAAAAGCCAGCTTTTGATCAGATGTTTCAGACATTTGGTCCATTTGAGAAAGTACTTCTTTCTCTCGAACCTAGCTACTAATTAATATAAAGATAAGACCTCACATGTTTTTTATTTTCTAAAATGGGAAGAAAAGAAAAAAAAAGTACAAGATACTTTTCAAGTTATGTCCTTAAGTAAGTGATCTTGTGATTACTTCAATAAGAAATGTTTTTGATGTTTTGAGAACACAGATTAGGTAAATTTAATCTCTGATGATTTACTTTCATGTTCCAATGTTTTTGACAGTATGCAAGATACCATAGATCGTTATCTGAGGCATACTAAGGATCGAGTCAGCACCAAACCGGTTTCTGAAGAAAATATGCAGGTTGATTCTTTATGATCTTGCCTATTAATACTTAATATAATATCAAAGAGGGTTACGGAATAACCACGATATGTACACAATCTCAAGGTCACAGGATCAAGTCACATATTTATTAGGGATATTTACGTACATGCAATAACATTTTTGTGATATAACCAACAGCATTTGAAATATGAAGCAGCAAACATGATGAAGAAAATTGAACAACTCGAAGCTTCTAAACGGTTTGTGATATATACATATAAACACATTATACTCACTTGTGTGTATATATATCACGGATTAAGAGTTTGATCCTAAAGTGTTTTGTTTTTGTTATCAGTAAACTCTTGGGAGAAGGCATAGGAACATGCTCGATCGAGGAGCTGCAACAGATTGAGCATCAGCTTGAGAAAAGTGTCAAATGTATTCGAGCAAGAAAGGTATATATTTATCTATATCCCCACATTAAAATTATTCTTCGAATCATCTTCTAAAACCACTCATAATTAATTTCTAACTCAATTTCTCATCTCTATTAGACTCAAGTGTTTAAGGAACAAATTGAGCAGCTCAAGCAAAAGGTAAAGTAGGTTTTATGAGTGTATATAAACAGATATATATGTATGTATGCAAATTGTGGAATATTCCAAGTAAATAATCCTCTTGTGTTTGCTTTTACAAATTGGAATCTAAAACTTTTGCAGGAGAAAGCTCTAGCTGCAGAAAACGAGAAGCTCTCTGAAAAGGTATAAATATTCTTATGGGTCTCAAGTTAGGGTTGCACATTCGTTTTTTTTTATTCGGTTAAGATAAGAAAGTTGGGTTCTTTTTGGGGGTTATTAGGTTAGGAGACTCCTTACTAGTTTTTCCTGGTTAGCTTCAATCATCATGACCATTTATGTATTAATTGTTCTATCTTCTTTGCATCTATTAATTTTGTGTAATAATTATATTTGAATGCAGTGGGGATCTCATGAAATCGAAGTTTGGTCGAATAAGAATCCAGAAAGTACTGGAAGAGGTGATGAAGAGAGTAGCCCAAGTTCTGAAGTAGAGACGCAATTGCAATTGTTCATTGGGTTACCTTGTTCTTCAAGAAAGTGATTCACTCAACAAACAAAACAAAAAACTAAGTAAAAACAGGTTTAGCAGTACTGAGAGTGTATAAGGACAAGTAACAAAACTCTAAAGCTGCTTCTCTTGTTGTCTTATTTCTCTCTCACTCTCTCTCAGTCACTTCTTTAATGATGTTCTTTGCCAAAACTGAACTGCTTGTGTTATGTATCTATGTTCTTACACTCGCCTCTCTAGAATGTAATTTTTGATTATGTTTTGTTTTTATGTATCAATTTAGCCCTCTTCCCTCAAAATCAGCAGTATCTATGATATAACTTATTGGTTGCTCAAGTCGAGGCTATAACATCCAAAACTGGTAAACAAATAAAAACAAAATGAGAACTAGTAAAAATTCACTACGAGAAAAGTACAGTTTTAGCTTCTTTTTCTAAGATGGTGTGAGATTCTAATTAAGGTTGGTGACTTTTAGATAATAAAGCTCGTTTTAAGTTCGTTTATAAAGTCTGTAAGCAGATTTTGATTCCACCAGAACTGATGAGCAATTGACTATAGTTCGTTTTAAGTTCAGCCATATAGGACTGCTCGTAGCACCGAATGATTAATCCTAAATCATATCTTTAAACACCTGTTTGAATCACTAAACTGTACTAGGTACTAATTATCTCATACCGTATTCGATCATACCGCAATCTTTCTCTTTTTCTTTTTCACTGAAAGATTTTCATTATATAATACAAGGGTGGAATACATTTTTGGAATGCGTTTTCGAAATACAAAGCCGGCGGAAAACAAAGCAATTCTCCGGAAGCTAAAGCCGTGTATCGGGAAGCACAAGAAGAAATACTAAGGTCAAGAAAAGAAGCTCTCGAAATCAGCGGAAAAGTCGGAGGAGAACAATAATCGCGGAATTAAGACCTCAAAGGTCACGAACTAGAGAACCTTCAACCGCAAACGGAGAAGACCCAAGGATAGAGGAAACCGCAATCTTTCTCATTTATTTGCTTAACATGGGAAATATTCGGATACACCACAACATACATATATTTTTTTTTCCAACAAAAGCATTTTATTAAAACTTAATCATGAGCTAAACTACATATGGTACATACAGAGTAAAACACACAATTTATTAGTTACGAGCCTTTCGTGGACTTATATAAACTCTATATAACAAAGCTCTCACTAAGTCCCGTAGACTGTGATGCAAATACTAGCTAGACAATTCAACATTTTTTTGTGTTAGCAGCAACTAAAAGGTCAAATCAATTACTGCATAATTTCAGATGAAGAGCTGAGATACTTCAACGGTTTTGCTAGTGTCAGAACTCATTGCCCTATTATTTTGTAATTGGAAGACTCATCCTAAGCGGCTAGTGGCAACTCTACAATACAAAGAGCGGTTTAAAAAAAAGCAAAAAAAAAAAAGCGTAGTCACCCTAATTTTTATCTAACTTGTACTAGTCTTGTGACGGTTTAGGAAAAATGTTGCGCCCCCTATAGCTAGCTAGTTCAAGATCGCCGGGAGACGAGATTTGTGTGCGTCTTTTAATTTTTGGGACTGAGGAGATTAGGGCACTAATCCAAAAAAAATAGAGGCTTTAGCCCATCAAAGAAAAAAAGAAAAAACATTATTTCTATAATCCAAATCGTCTAGACTCTTTAGATAATAGAGATAGCTAAACATGATGTGATATGGCATGTGCAGTAAACGTTTATATGGGCCCATAAATTTATTTAGTAATGGCCCACTTGTAAAAAGGCTTACTTTGCGATAACAGCCCATCAAACGGTAGTAAATATGAAAACTTTTTGGAAAAGACAAGAGTAAAGTTTGCCAAATAAAGAAGACTCTTCCAAAAGTCAAATCAAGAAACAGCAATGTGGATCCTACCTGGCTACATCATCATTGCACTTTTTCCAAAATCAACTACGTGGCATTTTATTTTTCGTTCGTTTTTTAGTTTACAGGTTTGATTTCATTTATTCACCCAATTGCTTCGGAAGTTCATTACTTACGTAGTTGAGCTGAATTGCTTTGATAATTCGTCACCCAATTGATTCAACGTCGCGCGATTTATTATTCGGTCCTACTATTCAGCAATTCATACTATAAAGTAAATGTCTGAGATTTAATAGTATTAATGCCAAATAAATCTTTTCATTTAAAGTTTATTTCATTGGGAAAATGTTAGTAAACCCAAAACAAATGTTTTAGATCAAGTAAGCGTAAGAAGAGAAATGTCTAAAGAGCACATACATGCGAATATAGATTCACACGAGCTGGAAATTAAATGACAAACATCTAGTACAAAAGTTTTTGTTTATAGAAAAAAAATATAGAAATGTAAATTGGGAAAAAACGACTGCAGAGAGCTGAAATTGGCCTGACCGTGGGATCGTGGTCTAGTCAACAGAGAGTCAAAGAACCCAACCTTGGACGAAATTGGTCTCACCTGCCACGTTGCTCTTTGATACTGAAGACCCTTCACCTTGCACGTAGTAATGCTGTTGAAACCTATAATCCAAATACGTACCAAACAAGTCTTGTAATCAAATCTTATTTCTATCCATTTATTTGTAAGAGAAAAAAGGAGATATTCTTACCCTATTTGTAAAAAGGGTTCGGTGTTGCAATCCAATGAAATAGGATGAGAAGCCTCAACCGGAAATTCAGAATTGTTTGGATCCCCGGCCACCGATGCCGCCGAGTTTGCCCATAAGTCTTGAAACGTTTTGAAAGCATGGCCTTCCGTCTCAAACTATTGAAAATTTATGTTTAGTTAAGAGCCAACATCATAATTATATGACAATTTATATAATTTTGTGATCTAGCAATAAAAACCTTAATCTTGAGTTGTTTGTTTATGTCTCCTAGTTGCCTCTCCTGCATTTCAAAAGTAGATTGATTGATTTGCATATATGTTTTTCAGTTTGGTATGAAACATTTATATGTAACTTGCCTTTTTCCTAAGATCTTCCATTTCTTCCATCATAACTTGTGTCTGCATATATATGTTAGTTGAATGGTTAATTATGAATACTGTTTGATAAACATATATATATATATATATATATATATATATATATATTTCGAAATGAAACAAGACCAGTCTAGATCATGTGACCTTGCGCTGTCGAGTCGCGGTAAGAGCAGCTTCGAGCTGCCTCTCGAGCGCTTGCAGTTCCTTCACACCCATTTCTCCAAGATCTTCTCCAAGCAAATTCCTTTATAATTAGCAATTATCAACAAACATAACTATAGATTTGTAACTATATACGTATATATTGGAAGATGATAATAACTATTTAATTTCAAGGGATTAAAAACCTATTAGTGCGAACAAGAGATTCGTATTTGGATTTAAGCTTTGTCACCTCCTGACACCAACTCTGCACCATATTAGATTATACAATGAAATGCATATATAGTAACAAGAGAATTTGAAGAAAGAGAGTTAGCTCGAATACAATTATTGTAAAAATCAAAGTACATACACACACACTTGCCTGTGTAGTCTCTTCAGGCTTATTATTGCTTAGAGTACAGTTGTAACAACGGTTATACCGTTCGATTGTTCTTTCAATTCTACAAATTCAATTTAAAAAAAAAAAAAATGAGAGATCATTGGCTCAAGTATGTATAAAGATTCTTCTTACAACAAGAACTCAAGTTATATCTTACACGCATGGTCTAAAAGGTAAAACCCTAGTTTGGAATTTTTTTTTAAAAGCTAGAAACCCATTTTGCAATCTGGCATCTTTAAGATTAAAGAATCAAAGGAATTCAATCAACAAATTTATTTGTCAAATTATAACGTACGGATGGACCCATTAGCTTATGATTAAGGATCCAAGAGAGAGCTACAGAAGACTGAAGATATATAACGATGAACCCTAATTACCACAGGATAAAAGACACAACCATTAAGAATACCCACAAGATCAAAACATGATCCGACTCTTGATTCGTACGATGTAACCAGTAATAAAAGAACCCATTTTAATCAATTTTTCATTAAAAACCTAACTTTATTGAATGAATCTAAAGAGCACAAAAGTTGGTTCGAAGGAGCAAAGATATATATACCCAACACTACCGAACTCGTAGAGCTTGCCACGGCTTGAGAAGATGATGAGAGCAACTTCGGCATCACAAAGAACAGAAAGCTCATAAGCTTTCTTCAGCAAACCGTTTCTTCTTTTTGAGAAAGTCACTTGTCTATTAATCTTGTTCTCTATCCTCTTCATCTCCACTCTCCCTCTTCCCATCTTTCTCTCTCCTTTTTCTTGATTCTGATTTCTTCTTCTTCTTCTTCTTCTTCTTCTCAAGAATTGGTAACTTTTTTAAGTATAGAGATCAAAGGAATATAAGTATCGTACACGATAATGTGTTTCTATATACAGTATATAAACTATTTTTGTTATAATACATCATATTGGACTTATAACCGGGCCCAATAAGCCCATCAGGGTTATTCATTATGTACTCTAAAACCCTAGGTTTATATGCCTATATATATGTATCATTATTCATGGAATGAGAAGAGACAACAATAAGTTTCACAACACGTTATCAGCACGAGTTTGCTCTTAACAACCCTAACCCTAAAAATCGCAAAACACTGTTCACGCCGACACTGTTCATCAGTACTGTTCATCGACACTGTTCATCGGTACTGTTCATCGACAGCGTGAGTTACCGAGGTCTTAAGCTCCCGGTTCAATTCGTTCAACCCCAATTGGTGAAAGATGTCAAACATTCAAAAAGTCGAGTTCGAGGCCCTCAAGGTCTCCGGTGAAAACTATCTCGAATGGGCCATGGACACCAGGATTTTCCTCAACTCAAAGGGACTGGGTGAGTGTATCAAAGCGGATAACACCGCATCTGATAAAGACCGGTCCCAGGCGATATTTCATATCCGCCATCATTTGGCCGCAAGCCTCAAACAGCAATATCTCACTCTTGAGAACCCACTCGAACTTTGGGTGGCCCTGAAAAAAACGGTATGATCACCAGAAAACGGTGCTCTTGCCACAAGCCAAGTTTGACTGGAAGGAACTCCGGTTCCAAGATTACAAATTTGTGGATGACTACAACTCCGAACTCTTTCGGATAGTTTCAATCATGAAACTATGTGGTGAAGAGGTGTCTGATAATGATCTCCTCGAGAAAACATTATCCACCTTCCATACCCAAAATATTGTGCTTCAGCAACAATATCGTGCAATGAAACATACATTGTACGAAGATTTGTTATCCTGTTTGCTCTTGGCCGAGAAAAACAATGACCTGTTAATGAGGAACAGTGCCCAGAGGCCCCCGGGATCGGCTCCAGTACCAGATTCCCGCAAAGAATCCTACAATGTCCAGCGAGACAGATCCTCAGATCGTGGCCGTGGACATGGGAATGGACGTGGAAATGGACGTGGCAACCGACATAACCTCGGTTATGGTTCCGGTAAGGGCCGTGGTATCTCTAAACCAAACCGCCCTGCCCACCCAACCAATCAGCCTGCACCAGATGCGGAATGTTCAATCACTGGACAAAGAACTGTCGTACTCCCAAGTTTCATTACGATTTGTATCAGAAACATGGGAAAGCACCTGCTGAAGCTAACATGGCCCAGCAAGTTGATGCTGACGACACCACCACCGAGCCGACCGATCCCATAGACTACGAGATCTCAGATCTCCTCAATTGATCCTATCATCTGAACATGTGTTGTTATCAAACGGCACACATCTGGACATTCCAGATGCATTATACTCACCCAGCTCAAAAAGAAATCTTTTGAGTTTTAAAGATATCAGACTTAATGGTTTCCACATAGAAACCCAGGGTGAAAGGAACAAAGAATCCCTACTGATCACTAAGATCACACTTGGCCATAAACAAGTCCTCGAGACTATACCCACATTATCTACTGGCCTTTACTATGCTAAGGTCAGTATGATTAAGGCTAAAAATGCTCTCAAAGCCCGATTCCAAGACTACACTATTTGGCACGACCGGCTTGGTCATCCCGGTACGACCATGATACGTAAATTAATCCAAAGTTCTCAAGGACATACCCTTCGAGAAAACCGAGTCTTCCCTCAGCACCTCATGTGCACAGCTTGCTCCCAAGGGAAGTTGATCACTCGGCCTTCACCAGTAAAAGTGTCCAAAGAGACATTACATTTTCTGGAAAGAATCCAAGGAGACATCTGTGGTCCCATTCACCCACCTTCTGGGACATTCCGGTACTTCATGGTACTAATAGACGCTTCGACCCGTTGGTCGTATGTCTGCCTATTGTCTTCTCGGAACCAAGCTTTTGCTAGGTTGTTGGCTCAAATCATCAGATTACGAGCCCATTTTCCAGACTTCCCACTAAAGACTATACGTCTTGACAATGCTGGTGAATTCACTTCCCAAGCGTTTAATGATTACTGTATGGCCATGGGGGTAACCGTTGAACATCCTATGGCACATGTCCATACTCAGAATGGACTTGCTGAATCATTCATTAAACGAATCCAATGGATTGCTCGACCATTACTCATGAGGTCGAAACTCCCGGTCTCAGCTTGGGGACATGCAGTATTACATGCTGCTGAATTAATACGCATCCGGCCATCTAGTGAGCATAGATATTCCCCATCCCAATTATTAACGGGTCATGAGCCAGACATCTCCCATCTCAAAACATTTGGGTGCTCAGTCTATGCACCCATTGCTCCACCACATAGAACCAAAATGGGACCTCAAAGGAGGATGGGAATATATGTTGGTTTTGATTCTCCCACCATCATCAAATATCTCGAGCCGACCACTGGAGACCTATTTAAGGCCAGATATGCGGATTGCCAATTTGATGAATCGGTATATCCAACATTGGGTGGAGAGAAACACAAGCTGGTCAAAAAGCTATCATGGAATCAAACATCCTTAAATTGGCAAGATCCTCGGACTCTAGAATGTGATTCAGAGATCCAAAAGATTATACACTATCAAAAGCTAGCTAATCAATTGCCAGATTCCTTTGCTGACCCGAACAAAGTAACCAAATCGTACATACCAGCTTGTAATGCACCAGTACGAATCACTGTCCCAACGGGACAAGTTCAAGTTGCTATAGAGCCTGCATCACGACATAAACGTGGCAGACCTCTAGGTTCCAAAGACAAGAATCCACGGAAATCAAAGAAAGGTGCAATAGTTGAAACCGGGATTCCCAATATAACAGACATAGCGCGCGCTGAGACTCTCTCTAATGAACCACCAGAAGAGGTTCGGGACGCCGAATCTCTAGGTTCTGACGAGATCGATAACGATGAGATCTTTATCAATTACAATATGTCTGGAATCCAATGGAACAGAAATGAAGTCGACTTAAATGCACTCTTTGCATACAAAGTAGCACTTGATATTGCGAACACGCAAGAGGATCCAGAACCCACGTCTATCACAGAGTGCACTCATAGAACAGACTGGCTAAAATGGAAAGAAGCCATAAACGTGGAGTTAAAGAGTCTCAAACTCAGGAATGTGTTTGATCCGATCATCCGGACACCATTCAATGTCAAACCAGTGGGCCATAAATGGGTCTTTGTGCATAAGAGAAACGAACTCGGTGAAGTTGTTCGTTATAAAGCACGGCTTGTAGCACAAGGATTCTCACAGAGACCCGGAATCGATTATGAGGAGACTTATTCTCCGGTGGTGGATGCAACTACTTTTCGATTCCTCATAAGTCTGGCCATAAGAGAAAATCTAAATTTGCGGTTAATGGATGTTGTCACCGCATATCTCTATGGGCCCCTGGACAATGAAATATACATGAGATTACCAGATGGCATAGAGCTTAAAGATAAGCATGCATCTCGAGATCAATACTGCATCAGGCTGAACAAATCCTTGTATGGACTGAAACAAAGTGGACGTATGTGGTATAACCGGTTAAGTGAATATCTCATCAGAGAAGGCTACAAAAACGATCCCATCAGTCCATGCATTTTCATCAAGAAATACTCAAACAAAGGATTTGTAATCATAGCAGTTTACGTGGATGATCTAAACATCCTCGGAACATCTGGTAAAATCTCCCAAACAGTCGACTGCTTGAAAGCAGAATTCGAAATGAAAGACCTAGGTAAAACTAAATTCTGTTTGGGTTTACAACTTGAGTACGTCAAAGGAGGAATCCTTGTGCATCAAGCGGCTTATATTGAAAAAGTACTCAAGCGATTCAACATGGACCAGGCCCACCCATTGACCAGCCCAATGGTTGTTCGGAGCCTAGGATTGGACAGTGATCCACTCGGTCCCAAGAAGGACGATGAAGAAATTCTCGGTCCAGAAAAGCCATACCTCAGTGCTGTAGGAGCGTTAATGTACTTGGCTAGTCACACTAGACCAGACATTTGCTTTGCCGTGAACCTCCTAGCTCGCTTCAGCTCATGTCCAACTCAGAGGCACTGGAATGGTATCAAACACCTCCTAAGATACCTTCAAGGTACTAAAGACTTAGGACTGTTTTACACTAACCACAACAAGGATGGACTAGTTGGCTTTGCTGATGCAGGATATCAATCAGATCCGCACAATGCCAAGTCTCAAACTGGTTATGTGTTCACGCATGGAGGAACAGCTATCTCTTGGAGATCGATAAAGCAGACAATCACTACCACTTCATCAAACCATGCAGAACTTTTGGCCATTCACGAAGCCAGCAGAGAATGTGTTTGGCTACGATCCATGACTCAGCACATCCGATCAGATTGTGGTATGAAAGAAGATAAGGAGCCCACGGTTATGTTTGAAGACAACGCGGCTTGCATTGCTCAACTCAAGGAAGGTTATATCAAAGGAGATCGGACGAAGCACATCCTACCTAAATTCTTCTCAACCTCGGATTGGCAGAAGGATGGTACGATCAGCGTTCAACAGGTCCGATCAAGCGATAACTCCGCCGACCTTTTCACCAAATCATTGCCCGCTTCAACACTCCGGAAGCTCATCCAACAAATAGGAATGCGTAGACTTAGAGATCTACGGTGATGCTCTAATCAGGGGGAGTAATGCGTGTTGTACTCTTTTTCCTTCACCATGGTTTTTCCCACTGGGTTTTCCTGGTAAGGTTTTAATGAGGCAACATTCCCCAGCGTATTATCGAGATCCCGATTGACCATCAGGTCCGGTTACTCCGTCCAAGGGGGAGTGTTATAATACATCATATTGGACTTATAACCGGGCCCAATAAGCCCATCAGGGTTATTCATTATGTACTCTAAAACCCTAGGTTTATATGCCTATATATATGTATCATTATTCATGGAATGAGAAGAGACAACAATAAGTTTCACAACAATTTTTACTTTCTAT